TCACGCGTCGTCAACCTCTTTTCACTAATACGCCCGTCATTTGAGTATATCCTAGGCGTGACCCCTAGCAGTTGCGGTCTCAAGATTTTCGTCCGGGGGGAAGCAAAAAAATTTTTTTCGAAATGAAGGCGTGGCGTCAGCCACGCACTCCGATTAAATTTTATCGTATTTGTTTTCTACGGTAGCGCCACTTTCTCGGGTTATGGTGATATATGGTAGACGGTTAAAAAATCCCGAATTCGCTCAAAACTTGGCCTGGAGGGGTTCCTAAGCACTTTGACATATATATAATGCTCTCACCGCAATAATGCCTTATTGTTAGAATTACGATTAGCTACGGTGCGTGAAAGAGCACTTCCGCTTTTCAGTAAAATATAAATCCCAAAAATCCACGAAAGGCTTTATCGTGCGAGACGAGTACGATATATGTGATCAGCACGTCAGATAACAATCCGCATGAAGGTTCGAGCAGAACTATCACTTTAGCCACCTACCGTAAAGCTATCGTAATTTCGCGAAAGCAGTTTCAAAACGCAAAAAGAGCTTGATATTCGTAGTCAGCATGCTAAGAAGCTCCTCCAACCCAAGTTTCGAGCAAACTCGGGATTTTAGCCATTTACCATATATCCACCGTAACCCGAGAAAATGGCGTTAGCGTACGAAATGAGTATGACTTTCCTGTTCAACGTGCCAAATAACCCCCTTGGACGAAGTTTGGGGAAAATCCGTGGTTTTGAGCCCCCCCCCCTTCCGGATCCTACCGTGACTCCACCGGACGGCACTACCATGCGAATAAATGTGATATTTACTAGCGATACCCGCATTTTCATTTTTTGGGGTGAAATAATGTGGAATAGTGAAATGCTTTGCGGTGGAACGCCCGTAAAAGGGCTCGGGACTGGGAGGAGTTGCAGGTGCGCTCCATCGCCATTTCGATTAGAGCACCTTTTTTCAACTGGAGCGCATTATCTCTAAATACTTGTGCATCTGACGAGGAGTGTGAACGGTGATGAAAGGTTGCTGATGTATGATTGTTGCACAGCTGCTAGCACGAGTCATGAGATTGACTGAGGAAGAGATGGCTACATGTTATCCGGTAAACTAGAGAAAGTTGTTGAAGTATGTAACGCAACAAGTTACACCAGTGTGATTAGTCACTGTCACAATTGCTTCCTCTTTCAACATCATCCTCCAACACTTCACAGTGACGCCATTTCTATATATGGCTATGGGTACACGTACATACTTTACATCTCTATGAAATTCGTCTGTAAAACGTTATGTTGAAGAGCTAATGTTTCTTTTGGTATGATCGATTGTCCCACGCACAGTTGAAATTTCAACTTGAACTCCATAAAAGTTAGTGATCCCAATGCACGTTATATTTTATTGTTCGTTTCCACACTTCATATGATCAAGCTGACATTGGATATGTCCTGCACTTATTCGAAGAATTGCTTTCGTGGAATTCTTATGTATAGCTGCTTTGTTTGTGGAGCTATACTTGTCGAGCTGTTACAGCTAGCATCGTTCGCCAAAGTTTGCTCAGAGTTCACCTATAACTTGAAGGATGTCCAATCTTCAATTTGAAGCCGTAGCTGCACAATGATTTGACGCTTGAACAGGCGTTAGTTTTAATGCAATTTACAAAGAAGGGGTTACCTAGTATTCTCTTCGACGAAATTATGTTACTGTACTTAATTCTAGACTGGTGCGCGAGACGCATCCAGGGAAATTTGCTATGTAGTGCTTAGCACTCTATGAAAGCAACGTTATCAAAAAGGATCAGAATGATTTTGGGCTTCAAAAGTAGCCAAGAACTCGTTTATGCACACAATTTCTGCTCAGAGTGCAACCAGATTCAAGTAAATTTCTTCTATGTTGTGCGATTTCCTTCATCCACAACTTATCAATCAACTTACATTGTATCGGTTGCACATTACCTTTGATGTTCATCAGTGGAATTCGCGGATGGTGAACGAATCACCTAGCTTCATCGAGAGAACAGCATACGATCTCTACCAGATGCTAACATCACATCTAGAGATCTGCGAACACATTTTCGTGTAAACAACCAGGAAAAGAAACTGTATAAACATAATAGGGAACCCGATGCCCATTAGCGCTTCATGTGATGACAGATTACATTTTTCGGCAACTTCCTCTCCATCACCGCGAAACAGCAATGCCATCTCATTTTCAGTCAGTCTCCTGACTTTATTGAGAGCTATGCATTGCAATAATACATCATCATCCTTTCATCACTGATTATATATAATCTTATATATAAAGCTGAATGTCTGTTTGTCTGTCTGTCTGTCTGTCTGTATGTCTGTCTGTATGTCTGTCTGTATGTCTGTACGTATGTTCCGAATAGAAAATTCCATTTCTGAACCGATCCGGACCAAACTTGGCACACATACACTTCGGGCCTCGGCGGGTGTCATAGGCTACTTTTCGTCATCGATCGATATCGATTTTATCGATTTTTTGCAAAATTTGAGCTACGGGGCTGGGAGTTGGCACAGGGGGTAATCGGGTGGAGGACTATATGTCGCCGAAAAAGGGCGGTCCCCGCGGTCATTTGCGACAAATACGCACCCTTGTACATGCGCGGACATGCGTTCCTGCAGGGAATCCGCGCGGGACTCTTCCAAATTCGGCGACATATAGTCCTCCACCCGGGGTAATCGAGCATGCTGATTACGAATATAATAATGACAGGGCCGGGCGGAGCCGGGTAAGTCAACTAGTCTTATATATAAAGCTGAATGTCTGTCTGTATGTCTGTCTGTCTGTCTGTGGGTACGTATGTTCCGGATAGAAAATTCCATTTCTGAACCGATCCGGACCAAACTTGGCACACATACACTTCGGGGCCGGGCGGGTGTCATAGGCTACTTTTCGTTATCAATCGATATCGATTTTATCGATTTTTCGCAAAATTTGAGCTACAGGGCTGGGAGTTGGCACAGGGGGGTAATCGAGCATGCTGATTACAAATATATTATTGACAGGCCCGGGCGGAGCCGGGTTTGCCAACTAGTGTATAATATAATATGGATATATTTGTCCCAAGCTTTGCTTCTCTGCAAGTTCCATGAAGCGAAAAGTCTCCTACTCGGAAAAGCATCAACGAATCAGGAAAACCGTTTGACAACAGCGAATTAGTTTTTGACTCTCTGACTAGCGTGTACGTTAACATTCCAAATTTTCACAAGGATGCAAAAGAAAATACACGTACTCATTGCCATATCTAGTAGGAACGGCGTCAAATGTGTCAAACATGGTGTTTGGAGATAGTGCGCTCCAGTTGAAAAGAGGTGCTCTAATCGAAATGGCGATGGAGCGCACCTGCAACTCCTCCCAGTCCCGAGCCCGGGTGTGGGGGGGGGGGGGCAGGCGTTATGGAGCAAAGCTACGCTGCATTCCCCTCCAGTATATCCTGAGGAACATTTGCGTTGCGTCGCTTTTAATTGCAGCTGCAGGAGTAGCGCTGCTCCTGCTCAGACACTGGGACCGGCCGAGCCGCGGACCTTTTCCGGCTGGAATTTCGCAGCGTCCGCGGCTCGGCCGGTGCAATCAATATTCATAGTGTCTGAGCCCATCATTAAGGCCGCGGCTGAGCCGGTAAGCCATATTCAGTCCGCGACTAGGCCGGAGTCCGGCCACGCCCACAAATTAAGGCCGCGGACGGGCCGGAAAGGCCTTTTGTGGCGGCAGCTGGGCCGGTCCCAGTGTCTGAGTGACAGCTTGAGCTGTTCTGTATTGCTACGCCTTGTTTTTCAAAACGTATTGCAATGAAGGAACCAAAATTGAAAAAAATGAATGAATTTTTGGATTCAGAGACTGAATTTGGGATGATTCAAATGCCAAATTAATTTAAAAGGTATTCAAAGGAAGTGGGACTCGAGAATTTGGAGAGAAAAAGGACAGGCATTTCCCACCAGTGACTTTCCCTAGAGAAACCAATTCCCTCTTCTTTTACTTTCGCTTGGGTTCTGCTTTACAGACACTTTTTTGTCAGATTTAGTTTCCTTACCAAAATACGTTTATCTTCCTCATATTGATCTATTTATCATGGAAAATGTGGAGAATGGTCAATCTGCTAGGCAACGCTAGCTAATCTGCGGGTGCAGTTAGAAGCGACGCAACGCAAAGAATCCTCAGGATATACCGCAGGCAAATGCGGCGTAGCTTTGCTCCATAACGCCACGCCGCCGGGTATGGTGCGGAAGGCGACAATCCCCAATTTTGTGCCTATCAAAAACTCTCCGGTATCAAAGTGACACCTCGGGGGACTACGGGGGTGGGGAGTGGGGGCAGATACATTACTCATGCCACAAGTGAAATCCATGAAAGTCATTGAGACGGATGATACAGCCTCCATTTTTCGACGATTGTCGCCTTCCGCGTGCCCCCCCCCCCGAGCCCTTTTACGGGCGTTCTTTGCGGTGTCGCTTCGCAAAAATTCGCGCCAATCGTATCTCACTCCCGGGTGGGGGAGACGGTCGTAAGGCGCGCATTTTCTTGCGGCGGTCGCGCAAGGCCGCGTTGCGGTCGCCGCGGCAGTTAGAATTCCAACCGGTATACTCGTCCCACTCTGCCGCTCTCGTTGACAAACGCGGGGCGCGTCAAGTCGACCCTGATGGCGCGCAGTGGGAGCCTCTGCGTCACTAGCTTCTCCAATCGATACACTGCTGATTTTTCGTTCGCCATTACTATCATTGATAATGTTTTTGAGGAATTTTCGCTGCCCTTTTTCAGAATTTTGCGCCTATTTGAACTCTAACTCTCCATCTTTTCTTTCTAAAGAAGAAACAGCATCGTCCCTTAAGTTCCAGCATGCCATCGTCTCATGAGGATGCATGGGTAGCGTCACCATATCGTTCGTGTTTTGAGAGTTACGCTTTCGATGAGGATGGTTTCCTTACTTTTATGGCGCACTGAGTCTCTTTTCGTGAGGTACCGAGACCAGGACCATCCAACTTTTTTGCAATGTTTTCCATTACAATGAATGGTGTGGAGAGAGCAATGAAACATGGACGATGAATACTGCAGAGCTTGTCTCCGTTGGCCATTTTGCTTTCCCTTTCCGGCACATACGTGAGAATAATACGTAATTTGGTCGCAACAACTGAATCCTCGACCAACTCGTCGTATCGCTTCATTGCAGAAAAAAGAAACAGTTCCTTTGTCCGATCTCCACTCCAAAAATTTTTTAAATCAACATGATCGTTATATGTGACGCCTTAACTATATTAAAGGTGTGTCATGTTTTCAGAGTTCTTTCACAGTACTCTTCACAATTCAGGATATTCGAACTGTTTCTCATAGCGAAACTCTGCAAGACCACTTACGCAGTATTGTATTGCCATGCCGCCGAAGATACTTGTAAATGGTTGAAAAACAAAAAAGAAGAACATTTGAGGTAACATCCTTGCCTGTGTTCAATCCACTAGAATCATACCAAGGATTGAGGTACTAGGATGAGGTTGTCAGCGAGTCGATCCGAGAAATCGCCTGGGAATCTCTCCTATTTGAAGTGAAAGTGAGTTCTTTTTTATTTTGATTCTATTTTATGACTGTATCTATGCGGCTTTAACTTTATTTTTCAGTATTCTTGTTATTGCTGCTTCTTCATGTGAAAAATAATTTACAGGGCACGGCATTAATCGAGATCAAGAGCACTCAGGTAGTGCCGTTGGCATCGATCGATTTCCTACAAGAGCTCGATAAAGTCATTCAAGAGCTGCTGTTGCTGAAGGGCAACGTATTACACGCCTTGGGGATTACATTGTTATAAGCCACCAGCCAACGAAAATGAGGTACTTTTGGAGAAGATAAGTTAAAAGAATAATGATTCACGAGAAATTCCAGGTAGTGCGCGTGTGTGTTCATTATCATCAGTGTGATACCCCGCTGGCATTGTTTACATTCAAGTTTTTGAAGGGATTTGGTGCTACCACGAAAGACGTCATCTTCCCTCTCTGTTTCGCAGTGTTCAAGATACCATTTCAAATGTATAATCGCTTTTTCTCTGTTCAGTAAAGAGCTTTTCCCATTCAGGCTTTACTGCAACGTCAGTGTATTCAGCTTCGCAGATTTGTTAGATGAAATTTTCAAGATAGAGGACCGTTTCCAACACTTAGGACCAGATCTAGTTTTGCACAGCTAAGTCTAACGCAACAAAGTCGCGAGTAATCGACCACATGTGTGCAAAGCGTTCTCGGATCTCCTAGTCTACAATGAATGCAAGCATGCGTCTTCACAGACGCTCGACTATAGCCCATAGAAAGTCAAAGTGCAAGGAATGTGAAGTTTGGGATGGGACCGATTCGTTCAGAACTTCCTTTTCTCAGTCATTGCAAAACTCTTTAGCATTTACAAGATAAATTATACTACCTAATGCCTATATAGGATGCAAAAAAGGAAGGTCCTTGTATAATGAAAAATTTCGCAGCGGAAATGGTCCAGCTGTACAGCCTTCTCATCCACTTCTAGCTTAGAAAGCTACGTCTTCATGTTGTTAAGCACAATGAACATTGCACTGAATCGAGAACGTCCCTGTATTCATTCATATGTCACCAACCTCAGACGTTGATGCTCATTGCAGGGGGGGGGGGGGTTTCTTCAGGGTGGACCTACAGGTACAAGGTCTTGGGCAGGTTGTGCATTTTAAGTGCACTAATTCTTTACCATCAAAGTCATTTGCAAATGGGTGATAGCATCATTTTCTTTTTTGTCCAATAATACAGTGCAATTTTTGTTGTAAATAAGATGTCCTCTCTTGCTGTAAAGCAAAGAATAGTAAACGGAAAAACTATGAAATAAACTTGAAGTTGTCAAAGATTAAATTCTGAAAGACAAGGAAGCTGTATCGAGTTTGAGGTCCGAGCTGGATACAAATTAATGTTGACATTTTGTCAGAAAGTGAGGATTCCGTCTTACAATGAGCTTCAAAGGGAAACTCTCAGCAGTATTGTGTGTGAATCATCCCCCAGAATAGCATAACCGCATAGAAGTGATGCAGTTTTGTTATTCTCACTCAATCTAAAGCTAGTCGAGATATCCTTCGTGAATTATATAATGACCAAACTCGAATCTGCCAAATTTCACATGCTACCAGTTAGCTATCAGTAAACAATCTACAACTCCCACATGTCGAGTAGCGTGACCTTTGCTTCGCACACTGAGTGATCGCATCTACCAATTTTGCACAACGACTTCTGATGGACAAAATGGAGTAGTGGAAGAGAACACCGCTACCCTTTATAAATATAGGGCTATAGGCGCCAGCCCATGCGCCACAAGAGCGTCGTCCTCTCCCCCCTCCACCGCGACAGAGTCGAGAACGGCAGAGTAGGACGAGTATACCGGTCGAAATTCAAACTGCCGCGGCGCCGCAACGCAGTCCTGCGCGGCCGCCGTAAGAAAATCCGCGCCTTACGACATACACCCCCCGGGTGGGGGGAGGGGGGGAGGTATCTAGTTGAAGGAAAGTATGCTTTTTTAGCACGTTGTCGCACGAAATGCTGCTTCGTGTAACAAGTGGTGTGCTGTGTGGTTACGTGCGCCAAATGATACAGAATGCCTTTAATTTTCTCGTCGGATTTATGCTTTTGGAATAACTTTGAATGAATGTGATTGAGTTTTTCAGATGATTGAAAGTTGCTGTGCATTACGAAGGGACTAAAAGAATCATACACACATCCCTGTGAGGTTAAGCGCCACAAATGATATGGATAAAACCGCCGCAAATGCCAACATTGAGAGGAATTCCAAGTCGATTGAATTGCCTCCAGTTTTCTATGATACCATTGAGAGAATCTCGCATGCGGTGAGTTCAGTGATTATCCTTCTTCGTTTTTTTGCATATAGATTCTGCAAAGGCATGCTGAATAAGCTGAATCTGATTTGTGTTTCTGGGCACTAGGATAAATGTCTAGTAAACCCAACGCTGTAAACATGTGCTATGCATATCACTTCAGTCTTGGATGGAAAACTCTTATTGTTGTACGCTTAGACATTATGAACATCGATTTATATTCAGATACCAGAAACATTTGATTTGGGAACTGTACCGGTTGAGCTGACATGTGTCGCTTCGTCCTCAGCTTTCATTGTTTTGGGAGCAGGATGTGGAACTCTATTTGTATATAACAGAAAGCTTGGGAGGCTTGCACGACCGTAAGTTAACGCAGTCTTGAGAGCTATTCAACATCCCTCACAATAAGCATCTTACTTCTGTTCGCGTATAAATCACAGTTTTTGCTTAGTTTACTTAAGATTGGATTTTCACTAAGATTTTTAGGCTGCGCACAAATAGCTTTGAGGCAGTGACATGCGTCCATCAACTTAGCCTCTTGGATGACTTTGTTGTGATTGGACATAATACCGGTACGCTGATAGCAATGCGCCTACCAAGTGGTCGAGAAGGTGGCAACATAACAGTAAGTCTTATCTATACTCGCAATCTTTTTCTTGGTTCTTCTATGATGGGAACCTGAGCTATCCATAACTCAGGTTCACATCGTAGATTTATATGGCCCAAGAATGTTGTCGCACTTTTATCCTGTTTGACATCTTCAGTTTTGACTTCTATGTTTTGTCCCCTTTTTATAGTTGACACAATGTGTTGATGTGGACAGTCATCGCAGGTCCCCGCTAACGTGTGTTCGTTTCAATTCTGATGCCACAAAGGTAGCCTTTCTCTCCTTTCAATCGACTCGCAGTAACCGCAGTCTTTTCAGGTCGTTTCTGGTGATGCTGCTGGTACTGTGATATTATCTACTGTGATATTTGATACGGTACTGATGCTGTGATTCTAAATATTGCCTCAGCGTTTTGAATTTTCATGACTAGGAGACACTTGAAAGCTACGCACGAACATTCGTAGCAAAACCTAATTTTACTTTTCTCAACTTGTGGCTTAATCATAGCTCTCAGTTTGCTATCTGTAAAAGTTTTTGATCCTGTCGCAAACTCTCCGTTTTCAGGGTGAATTCTATCATTCCTTCCTTTTTGAAGGGCCTTGTGCCATTGCCGCGTTGACCTTTTTCGCCGATTCTGTAATTATTGACAATACTTTCCAATTAGTGGTCGTTGGCATCGCACCACCTCATCGAACGCAAGTTATCAGTGATCGAGAAGAAAGGTGATTTTTTTATTCCACGCTATTTTGGTGTTTTCTCATCTTTTCCTGGACATCAGTTCTAAATAGTCATTTCTACTTCCACTGAATTTCAGAACTATCGTTCTTGGCATGCATTCCACTACTTCATCACTTTACCTCGTGGAAAAGTTGAAATTGCGAATGTATTCTAATTGCTTTGATGAAAGTCACATCACAGCTGCAAGCGAATTGGTAAGATATCTTTTCGTATCGAGGTTTTCAGCGATCAAGTCAAGGAAGTTTTAAGGTTGGCGAGAATACAAGCATTGGTTCCGTAAAATTCGATGACGATGGAACCAAGTTGGTATTACTTTCAACATCCAATGTATTTGTGATGTATGACGTGGTTCAACGAGAAATCCTTTGGAAAGCGTCGCTCAGTGTAAGTTCGGACAGTTTATTTCTTCTTTTGTATTTTTACTCGTCGGCACACAAATTTTTCTTCTTTGCAAACAACCCATAAGCACGGGCCATACTTGATTCGCTTGATTCATCTGATCCACTTCATTCACTTCATTCTCTTCGCCACTGGTCGGTTCACTGACCAGTAGCGAAGTAGATCAGGCGGATCAAGTATGGCGCGTGCCATAGTTCTCATTTCTGAACAACTAAGTTTTTTTCTTTTTCTGTTTTGAACATATATTGCAGCAAGTAGATGTATACGCTGTTCTTTAGCTTGCACATGCACGTCTATCGTCTATCACCAAACTGTTTTTGTAGTTATGCTCTTCTTTGCTGTGTTTTCCTATATTAGGCGCATTAAAAGCAGCAGCTCGACAGAATGACAAATTTCGGATATTCATCTTTCTCGGTTCCCCTGGATGAGCTAAGTCTAAGACTGTGCTTGCGGCTTCAAAAGATATCAATCATCCGCTTATCCAGAAGTGAAAGGTGCTATCTGGGTGGACGGCGTATGCCTGCCTTCTAGAGCGCGATTGGCTCGTGGGTACGGTAGCTAAGGTGTCTCCCCTCACGAGCCAATCGCGCCCTAGAAAGCAGGCATACGCGGTCCGCCCATAGCATTTCTCACGTCTGCAAAAGCGGGTTATTGATATCTTTTGAAGCTGCGAAGCACACTTTTGAACTTATTGTCAGCTCTCCAGGGGAACCGTGAACAATGAATATCCCAAAGTTATCATTCTGCTGAGCCGTTGCCTTCAAAGTTGTTGTTCCATAGATTGTGCAGTGCCTTCCCAGGCTCTTATATTCTGTGCTTACCTTGTTTTTTTTGCAGCGTAATTCTACGCACTGACTATCTCGCTACTGTACCTGTAACACTTCCATTTGACGGCTCCTTTAGTTTCTGAAACAAAAAAAGTGTCCAAACAAACAGCTTTCATGTCAACAAACGTCGAAGTGTCCTCAGAACCTGTAGACGAAGACTTTCAGAACTATCTCTGTTGTTTTGTCTGTGATTTTTGCGTGGACAGCGATGGTTCAATCCTTTACATTACAAAACCTCGTGGAGTGCGTCGCGTTGGGATCTCACCCATAGACAAGTTGCTGACAGAAAGAGGTGAAGCCTTTAATATTGTCTTTTCTGCGTTTCGCAAGGCATTATTTAGACAGCGATTCTTCCCTGTCGTCACTTTTTACTTCCCCAAAGAAGTTGTTGACAGATGGCGCCTCCTTGGTTACTCAGAGAGGATTTTCGTTGCTTACGAGTGCTGTAACAGCAGCTAAAGATTTAAGTGGTGTTCCAGAAGGTAGCACAATGTTACTATCATCAACATTTTTGCATTTGTTTGCTGAATCACAACATCTTTTTTGTAACTTCTCCTTTGCAGTAAGCAAGGAGGACTCAGTGCGAATGTATTATGATGACCCATCACTTATTCCGATCATAGCTCGAGTTGGAAGTGCATCGCAAGAAGTAAGTTGAACCACAAAGGTACTATGTTCGCTGAAGAAAGAATTTAGACTTCTCGCATGACTAACGATAAGTCTGCGTGCACTGCCACAGTAAAACCTCAGATGGTACAAGAACATCATGATATATCTGTTGTAAGAAAGAACCGAGGGCGTCATAAAATGGGAAATCTTCTTGAGAACGCTGATGATGATGAAGCGCGAGATACGGACGAACCAGAAGCAATCGGCGAGAGTACCATACTTGCCCTGAGAAGAGAAGGTTTGCTTTTTCGTAATTCTTCCAATTATTACCCAAGGATTTTCAAAATTGAGTTATGATTTTTATCTAAAGTCATGACAGCCATGTCGATCTCAGATTCGTTTAATGATTCTGTACTTATTTTCTAGTTCTTGGAAGTAGTGTACTTGGAAGCAGTCCTTCCGGATCTGGTATAAGCATAGAGTCTCCACCAGTTTGGACTCCCAGTGAAAGTCCTCTGGTGTGTGGTCAATATATCAGATCAACAGAACTCACCAAAAATCTCTCTGCACCTTGCTCATCGACGCATTCTCCTGCAGCAGAGAGACGACAAATTCCTTCAATGGGTATGGTGTATGTGCTACTTAGCTTACGATGTGCAATACTTGAGATTTGTAGGAGATGAAGCCGACATGGCTGCTAAATTCGAAGAACTGCTGAGTGCGGACCCCTCTACTGAAAGCTTCCAACCACAACAGACAGTCACGGAGGGTGCGGAATCGGTGACAACCGCTTACGAGTACCTACTGCAGAAAAGTCATCCAATTGCCGTAGCACCTGAGGTAAGACTGCATATATCGACTTTCATGATTCCAAATTCTTCAAGAGAACCTCTTCCACCGCGATACATCAAGCGCAGGTCCATGCTCGGCAGAGTCTGGACCTGCGCTGCCCTAACTGCATTTCACACTTTGGGTGCGCTTGTACTGCTGCACCGATTCACAGAATAGATATGTTGGACGGATACTTGGTCATGCGAGCTTTATTTCAATTGGTGATTTATCTTTGGCTAGATCAGATCGAAACATGCTGTGCAAGTAACCCTGGTTAGCAGGGTATTATCTTACATCAGCCAATCGAATCTTGTCAAATGATCAGAAATTAAGGCATATATTTTGATACGGAGTAATAACAATTCATATGAAGAAGCTGCAAGTGGCATGGAGATATCCTTTTTTTTCTATTTACGCATGCTAAACGCGCGAATATTCAGGCAACACCCTCTACTTCCATAGCGCCTATTGAGGTCCGTAACGAAAGTCTTCGTGAAAGATCTCGGAAGATCGTTGTACTTAATGATCAAGTCGACATATGGCAGAAGGTATCCTATTATCATCTGTATGATTTTCGTTATTATATTGTTCAACATAGGCTGTTCTTCCGTATACCGCCAAGTCTTTTGCCGTTGGATCTCGACATATCGTCCTATGTCACAGAAGAAAGACACCTCGTATAATAAAACATGAGCATTTGGGAGTGAAAAAGCAGGGTTGGCAAACAGCAAAGTGGGGAGCTGACAGCGTTTCCATGAACGGTATGTGAGTTCTAATTGACTTTTGCCCAAATTGGCTGAATTATTCCCTTTTTTCTCTTCTGTATTTTTTCATCTCGGATTGAAGAATTGATTCGCCTACAAAACTTTTCTCTTGCGTTGGCTGCAATCGTCCAGTTTTCATTGATTTTAGACGAAGAAACTATCGTGTGGAGAATTCATCGCAAAGTTGGCTGGTGCGCTGTTGACTCATTGAGCGCGATTTCGCATTTCGAAGAATGTGCCACTGATGGAGGAGGTGTAGACGAGATCTCTATTGGAACTAATACAGCATGGTACATCACTAAAGAAGGGGTGAGGTTTGCTCCATTCAATTCTTTCCATTCACGAGATGCGTACAAAAGGCAGTCGTCTAACATTGTAGGTCTCACTGCAAATGGAGCTGCCAGAAAAGGCCATATTTTCGACAGTTGACCATGATTGGCCATTACGATCTATATGTGTATCGGATGAGGCAGTATGGGCCATACGGGCTGATGTAGATAGCCTGGTCGTCCGTGTTGGGCTAGCGAAATGCAAAATGGGATTAGATTGGATTGAGATAACGTAAGTTTTCGACTTTCCCTCAATTTTTCATCCTTCGCAGCAGCGGCACTTTCCAGTGACCTACAAATTAGTGCTTTGATTTTTAATGTTTTCCTTTTTCTTGGTAAAATGATGTGTTTCAGCAAATGTGATGGTTTATAGCTTTGGAATGTGGCACAAAGCTTTTGCTTCAGTTGAAAAATCATAGATTTTTGACATCTGTTCCTCTCCGAAAACTCATCGCGGCGCAACCCTTTTTGGTACCCGCAATCCCCTTTGTTGCGTTGTCCTCAAGCCAGTTTCGGGGACGGGCATTCTTGTTATTACCGGGCGCAAGCTTTGCTTGTGCAGCATATGGAACGTCGCAAAATACATGTCGGATCCTTTGGATCACAAAGTGCAAAATTCCTGGCAAAAACTTTTTTGCAAGATAGTTAGATCTAAAGAATTACTATTTCTTTTTTATTTAGCCCGGAAGGTCCGTCAAAACTGGTTTCTGTGTCTCTCTATCGTTCTTATGGTTTTGTGCTGGATGACATGGGTCAGTTATGGATGAGCTCTGGCGTCGATCATCAACATCCATATGGCAGCAGTGATGCATTTTACAAGGCATGCTTTCTTTCTTGGCCCTTGCCACTTTGTGTTGGTTTTCCATCGTAGCTTTTGAAGCAGTGGTGAAACTGTCTCAATTATTATTGACTACTACGAAATTAAGCTCAGATTAAGTTATAGATCAACTTAGGTCTATGAGTCGGCTTTGTGTCTTAGTTAGGTGCCCGTATGAGCCTTTATCTACAATTGAGTATAAAATCACAACGGCAACCTTCGCAAACTCTTTGATTAACTTGGCAAAAAAGTGGAAAAGCGGTGTAGGCATATGAGCATTTGCTTACCGTTGCGTTTTCCCTTTCGTTGAATCACCTTCAATATTTTTTTGCTATCAGAGTGATCAACTATGGTGCTTCTGGTATATCCACATTCACTTCTACCAGTGGCGGTCCCAGGTTTCTGTCGTGGGGGGGGAGGGCAAAACGTACTCAAAAATTTTGGAAGTGCTTAAAAAATTTTTTGCGGGCCCAGCTCCTAAAATCTAGATTGCCACCGAAAAAAATTCCTTTGTAAGGCTAATTTTTTCAATTTTCGCGAATTCCAATTTCAAAAATATCTAATTATTTACTAGAATAAACAAATCACTTGCTCATTTTTATGCCCCCCCCCTTCCTCGGTCCGCCAATGATTTCTACTCGCGATTCTTCAAGACAAAAGTGGGAAGTCAGTTTATGAACAGTCAAATGTTCGTTTACCCAATTGTTCACATGCTTGGTCTTTTTGGGACGATATGTAAGGTCCTAAATGAGGCGGATAACAACGCCTTTGACCTACCTGCGCACCAAATTTACACTTTGGTAAAAGTTCAAGTGTTTGACCACTAAGTTGTTCTCGTCATCGTAAGGCGTGGTTACTTACCCTGTCATCAAGTTTCTGCTCTCAAAGAAGAAAGTAGCCAAGGTTACATCCGGCCAAGGCCAAGGTTTCATCAGATTACATCATTATTACAAACATCTTTTTTGTATCACCCGCACACCTACTCATACGCACCGAATTTTAACCGCCCCTTCTTATGAAAAACACATTGGTTTCTCTAATCAAAGTTGTCTCGCTAAGGTAAGTCATGGCCATAATTCATGTACCCTCGAATGTGAAGGGGAAACGAAGGCTTTGAACCAAGCTACCCATAAGTTTACAATCCTTAGCGTACATTGGAAATTGCCGGTCGCATGGCATCTTTTCCGCCATGTTCCTACTGAAGGGTAGTAAAATTAGTTGAAGATGATAGATGTAACTAAAATGTATTCGAATCGGTTTTTTTTTTCAGGTTTGTCTTCCTGTCATTGATGTCAAAACTGCCCCAATTACTGCTTGGAGCGTTCGGTGAATCTGTCAACTCATCTCAGCTCTTGCAGGAATATTATTCTTGCAGGGTTTCATCTATTGGTTTGTTTCTTTGCACGGGGAAGGTGATGTACTACTCCAGAAGTGCTTTATCTGGACATAGGTAACTAGACATGTCAGGATTTTATCTAGCTTCGAAAAACTCGCTTTACTCCGAAGATGCAAATTTTTTTAAGATTTCCCAGAGCGATACCTCCAAAGTTTGAACTTCTGGATAATTTTTCATTGTTCTCGGCTGGCTCTTTTACAGGAACGACAGGTTTTTGAGTTCAATTTGATCTCCATATCCTTAGATAGCGGTTTCAGGATTCATTCACCTATGCCGAGAAGACTCGGAGGTTTTTGTGTATCGGCCTGGAAAGCGCAACTTTGTGACGCTCGCTATCCCTATAACATCGCAAGCGGTTAGTTCTATCTCTGCAAGTGACTAGTTCATTCCTCCATCCACTTTCTTCCGAGAAACTTCTGAAAATTATTTTTTTTATCAATTTTATCTTCTTCGTTTTTTGTTCTTTTTTAAGTGGTCAGTATTTTGAATCCTAGTGTTTAGCCCACAGAACAGTTTTTTGAGGTTATCTCATTATGCGGTGCCGAACATAAACTGTTCCTTATTGATAGCAGTGGCAAACTGTTTTCATCTGATGGTGAGACTGCAAATTGGGAAGCTGTGACGTTGCCAGGTATGAAGGCTCTGTAGGAAGTAACTTGACAACTTCAATTGCTTTTACACTATTTTCTTGTAGCTTTGTAGCTAACCAGTCAGCATGCCCTCATCCTTGCTTCCCTTCTTGCAATTTTTTCTGACTTCGCGTTTCTTCCGTTCTTTCTTCCTCTCGACAGATCGATCACATACTCTTTTTATTGCGAGTACGTCAAGATAGAGTGTCAAAATTATGTACTTTTGTTGAGAAAAAAGTTGAGCTGCAAAGCCGAGATATCCTGAGTGTAAGCTCATGTCTTGAAAAAATCTCTCAGTTTATCGACTATCTAACCTTTGATTCAACTGGCTTGGCACTATTGGGGCGGGGTTTTGTGATCTAATTGAGGCCGCTAGCGCCCGCGACGCACCTGCGTCTCTCTCGCGCGAGTGCTCTCTGATCATTACCTGGCCTTAATTAGGTCACGAAGCCTCGCCTTTGCCGATGCCAAGCCAGTTGAATCGACTGGTATATCTACCTGATTTTTATTTCAGAACCTGTATGTTGTGTCGCACACAGCAAGCTGTCTTCTTGGGCGGTGACTTGCACTGGTAAAATACTTGTATCGCTCGAGGGATCGAGTGTATGGTCCATCATCGGAGTTCCATCGGATGTAGATGCCAATGTTGTACCAACACAGGTACGTTGGTCTTATATGCAAACGTGCAAGGCATTACTGAGCTCATTTCACATATTCATGCCGTAGTTGCATATATGAAGTCAAATCCTCATCAAATGAATGTACTTGTTGAGATCGAAACAGTTTGGAGTCAATATAGAGGCGTAGTTTGAGTCCCTACTTCAAATGTGCCCCCAGATCGCTATTACAAAAGGCGGAGATTCCTTAAAGGCAGTGTCCAGGCTAAATCTAACCCCCTCCGATTTATATCGATCCGAATGTAGGCCCCATGAGAGGGGCATTTGCGTTGATCAGGTCCTCTAATGTTGTCTCTAAATGGAGGTAAGCGGCCCGGAACAGTCAAAGTGCTAACCCAGCCCAGATCCTATCAGACTCCGCCCACCCATGTACTGACAGCCGTCTGCGCCCTTAAGACAGGGTCCTCAGGAATCGGGGTTTTTGGAGTTTCGGATTATTTGAACTTCATAATTGTTATCAGGGTCACGGAAAAGCCCCGGAATGGCAAAAACATGGGAGGCAAAATTTTGGGCGGACGCTGCTTTTAAGTAAGAGCGATTGGGATGATGTGGGCGATTGAGAGTGATCATAGCAGTTGTTCGTACTTGCAAACTTCGTGTTTGAATGTGGAAAGAAGGACTGATTGCGAAACCTAACTGCTCAATTTTCTGAGCATTCCGTTAGTCCCTCTGTCCAGCTGAAATGTGGCGTTTGTGAACAAGCCCAAAGCTTTATTTGGCATTTTCAATCTCCCCATTCTCAAGCGTCGGCTTTCGCAATAATTGTGAGCAGAAGTCGTAAAAGGCAAAATGACTCCTTTTTTCAGGTTTTTGCTTCTCCGAATGGAATTTATGTCTGGGTACTTGCTGCTGGACGTGGATGGGCTCGTGCTAACATTAATGAAAGGAATCCAATAGGGTCAAAGTGGACCGAGGTGCAGAAGTCTTATTCGTGATGAATTAAACGGAATCGTATATTCTAGACATATCACACTTCTGAGCTGTGCAGTTTGGCTGTGGGAGACAATGTTGTATGGGCCCTTGATAGTTCAAGTCAACTGCTGAGATTGCGAGGTTTGGCGGCCGGCAACCCGGCTGGAAACTACTGGCGCCCAATTTCTAATGCGTTATTCAGGTAACGTTTTCATTATCAGTTACCTTACACTTCTCGTCTTTGTTTACTATATGCCCAGTGCTGTTATCACTGCTGAGTAGATATTTTAGCATATGTTTACACAACAACTAGTATAGCGCCATTTGAAATTGAAGGAACATGAGCGATTGTAATACAAGAATTTTGTTTTAGAGCGATTTCTGTGGATAATCAGAGTGAATTGTGGGCACTTGATATGGAAAATCGACTCGTGCAGCATCTGGTGTGTTTCTAGATTCTTTATAACACATTCTAGTATGGCTAAATCTGAAGTTTTTATCCACTTTTTACGACTCCATACACTCGAAGCTGTGCTAAAAACAAAAAGCGAAAACGAAGACAATCGTCTAAGATGGAATCAACGCGCAGCTTTCAGTAAAGAAAATCCTAAAGAAGAATAGAAAGAGAATCGGTTACATTCTAAGATCCCTACATATATATGATTGCAAATTTGAGATCGCTTTTTTACGCCCAACCAGTTTCATAGCTTAAAACAAAACTGACCCACTTAATTTTTTGGTAAGAAAGCGGGAGCACAGTATATGTAATAGCCTATAACTTGTGAGTCCCTATGAATTTTTGCCAGGTGGATGGCAGTGAAAAATGTTTGTGAGGGTCAGCCGACTTTCGGAGTTGTGGGAGCAAATCTCTCATGGACTGTACTTTTAATTTTCTAGAGCAACGTCTACATCCCGGATCAATTTTCCTCCGATGCTCCATCAAGCCCGTTCGAACTTATTTGATAGTATTTGCTTTCTTATGTTCCATATCGAAATGGCCTTTCTAGCCCAATCTAGCCTTGTATGATTCCTCATTTTTTCAATTTTTCTAGTTCTTGTTTTCTTACGATTTTTCATCATTCTTGTCAATATTTGTTATCTCGCATTTCGTTGATTCGTACACTCACAGACTTTATACTATCCTACATTCACTTATAGTTCCAGTCTTTGTTGAAATTCATGTGCCGAGTTTTTCCATAAACTGTGATCGTTTGTGCCAGACTGTTACCAAAAATCAAATGCTACTTTGCCCCCACCCGCACAAAATCTGCATAAGTCATGCTAATCACGATGTTTGTAGAGTGTTTATGATTCAGTTATGCTGTGGTCGAGTGGAATAGGTCGAAACGAGTGGGATTAGTTAGCAGAAAAAAATTGGTTTGAAGTTTTCAAATCGGGTGCTTTTTAGATGGATGATAGCCAGTATTTGCATACGGTACTTCATAAGTACTCACGTAAAGGTTTAGTTATCGTTACCTCATGATCAAAAGTCCTTTATGTCAGATGAGAGCGTAACATAAGCTCAAGGATTTTGTAGCCCTTACAAGGGAAAAGCTTGAATGGAAAAAAGCCTTGACATCAGCACTACATTGTCTGAAACTCTCCTGTTCAGGTAATTTGAGCTTGGTTTTCATCTCTCAAGATCAAAGAGATGAAGCTAATATCTCATAGTATAAAAACGCAAATGTCAGAGAGAATCTTTTATGACTATCAGTTAAATGTAGATCATACAGATAGATGCACAGCATGGGCGAAGCTGGGGACATAAATATTGTATATAAAAACACGTTACTGTAGTTGCTCAATAGCTTGAAGTGTCTGCTGTTATCATTGCTACGAGGATAAAATCCACCGTAATTCAAATTTCGATAAAATGCCCACATTTTGTAGTGAATTGAATGTCTTGTATGGAAAATTCGTGTTATAGAGTTGTGCATAGGCTATTCCATGAAAACCGACGAAATCTAAAATTCAGTGGACCTATTTTCACACGCGGGGGAAGGAAATTTGATGACCATGTCTTCAATCAAAATGTAGCATCTAAGATGCATTTCGAAATACTGATTCCAACTCTATACTCAATCTATAAAAAAATTTTTTTTCGAAGGAAGTTATCTACCTTGTTCTGACACGATTTTGTAATTCTAGATAATCAAATTTGTCAGCATTCAAAGATTTGCCTATTTTAGAGAAAAAAGATATATTTGGAGTAGGATGTCGTATTCAGACTAAATTTATCTGAATTCATTAGCTAAAGAAGCAGGAAAATTACGCATTGATCACTCTGAAGCCTCGCAAAAGTGCAACATTACTACGAAGCATAAATAATCATTTAGAGAATAGTTTTACTGAATTTAGCAAATTACAAGAATTGAGTATAAGTATTCAAAAATATTAATTGAAATATTCAATAAGTATTCGTTGAAGAAGACAATTTTCTCAAAGAATGGCCAGGCCACCAAGTTTGCTTCCTGGTTAGTCCATTGAGTCTAATGTGTGAATAGTGCGGTAATAATACGGTAGTTTCAACTTGAAATTTTTGAGAAATTGGGGCGTGGCCATGTTGTTTGATTAGCGCATCGCTGTGCTTCGGCCACCTTTTTGCGCGGCGGGGACACACGGTAGAAAGGGGCGGGGCTCAAAGTTCCTCATTTCACCGCCTAGACTCATGTCGCAATACACAGTGGTAAGTGCCCATCCATAATTTCAGTAATTTGTCATTTGTTGTCGTAAAAATGTCTCATAGAAAGTTGATAAATTGGTTCAGGAAAAAAAGCAGAAAATAGAATGAGTTGTTGTTTCTTTCAAATTGGAAAGAGTTGATTTTTTGCAGATTATTTGTTCACAGGTATACTAGAGTAGTTCGAGTTAGCTGGCTTACTTCTCCCTATTCAAATTGTTTCTCTCTGCTACTTCTTTTTCATCCTATTTACAGTATACTCCCCCATTCTTCTCTTGCCCGACTATGAGTTTTTTGGGCATCATATCTCATCTGAAACCGATGGTTCTGCTTTACGTAGATAGATTCATATCGGTCCTTTTTCCTTTCTTCATCGCGCTGAGATTTGACTTGACGTCATTCTGGATATGTCGCTTTGGCGAAAACTGAAGATATCTAAAAAGCATAGAAAACGAGGAGGGAGACGGTATTATCTCCTCATCAAACGTCCAAACTCTCAGTATGGGATTTATTTTTGTAATCATACGGGAATGAGCTAGATGAGAAATCTTAGAATATTTTCAAGCAATTTTTGGATAGAAAAGTACAACAACTTAAGATTGTGTACTTGCCCTAGAAGCCCTATCCACATTCTCAGACACCGTTATTCAGTCATGAAAGTTGTCCTTGTATGGAGTCTATAGTATTTACTTTTTTACTTAAAAGTATCAACAAACAGACGGCAGTCCAAATTGAGATCAAAGTGTCCATTCACAGGGTGCGCGGATAACACTGAAATTTTGGAGAAACTGCAGTCATGTTCTTATAGTAGCTTTTTCTAGATTGGAGAAGGCTGTCGAATGAGTAGTTTCGAGAGAAACTTGCGTTAGTTTGGAAGTGAGATTTTTATTGTTTGGCAATTTAAAGTATTGTTGGACAAATGTTGCAAGTTGGTCCACAATTCTTGCATTGATTTTCTGAAATATCTTAGTCTTTTCTAGTTTATTAGATTTGATTTTCGGTTAGTTTGAAAGATAGGGTCTTGAAAATACTCAGGCCTACAACGTTTTCTACGAATTTTTTTGTCATAAATGCTAGAATATCCGATATAATCTGTTTTTTTTTTGAGTTTCGACTTGTTTTTACAAGATAAATTTTGTTATTTTTGACACAGAAAGGTAAAAATGGGTGCCCATACAACCCCACCAATTCAATTTTTTATTCGACTTCATAATTCCATTATACAGATTATATAGATTATATAGTAGAAAGTATATAGTAGAAAACTGTAAATCAGAACGTTTTCTGAACGTCTAAAAAACGAATTTTTTGGGCGAACGAAAAACGAAATCTCTTAGCGCAGATCTTATGAGTTAACTACCATCGAACTGCTGTGGGAATTCTAACAAAACCCTGAACATATATCTTTTAACAACTCTGACCATAAAAACATTTAAGTTCATCTAATATGTGAGTTGCTGATAATTCCACTCTTCAAGGTTTTTTGCATAGTACATTATACGGTGTAGTACACACGTGTATCTAGTTAGTCACACCAACTCAAGAGTTCTTCGCAAACATATAGTATCAGCAAAATACTTGCTCCTGTATTTGCCCATATGCTTTATCGGACGAGTGACATTCTTGGAAAACATGACATTTGCTATATCATCGCCTAAAATCAACTGATTTCCTTATGAAATAATTTGGATCATGACGATCCTGTTCAAAGTTTGAGTTGCTAGGAAATATTTTGCAAGCAGTGATCATGAAGAAATAACAGACCACCGTGCGCTCGTCGACTCGTTCCTAACGTAATATGTGAGCTGCACACAACGCGTGGAGACCGACGGCATCCTTAACAGTAATCTCTCAGTAAAACCTTTTTAGCTTACTAAACTAAAAAGTGTCCACTACTACTAATTAAATGTATTCTTTTGAACCAGAGGCAAGGAGACAAGGAGAAATCGAAGTGAGACGTTACGATCGTACCAGTTCGTCAAGTAGCGCGCGTGCACTACAGGTTATTAATGTAGGATATATAGTAAAACAGAGGAAAGGATATGTATAATGACCAAAGGATGGAAGTGCGGCGTTTACTACTGTATAGAGCTTATGACACTCATTTTGATGTTTTTTTTCTAAAAAAGCTTTGCTTTAAGGAAATTATAAACATGCAATGTTTGGAATTTGCATGTCTCTTGAAATGCTGAATACTCATTCACCATGGAGGATGGGGAGGGGTGGCGTAGTGGTATGAAATGCCGCTATGAATTACTGTAATTAGTGTTTGTTCAATTCCCGCACTTGCCCAAAAGCCCTTTATTGTGCTCTTCGACTGTGAAGCAGAAGGCATTTATCGCTTGTAGATATGAAATTAGCTGATTCTTGAAGCCTGAAACCTGTGTTTATTTCAAGGAAGGTTATTGTGACACAATTATGAATTAACTTAAAATGCAAATAACCAAATACAAATTTCTTTGCATAGGAACGTCTTTGTGAAAAAATCAACTTTTTGAAATTGAATCGTTACAAAATCATCGTCTGAGTTTCGTGAACATCGTTAATAACACTTTGTAAAAAATTATTCACTTTCTGCTTTTGAGAAGCGAAGATCAGCCTTGGGTAAGTTGAAAAGAAATCCCAATTTACCGAATGGCTTTCCAAATTTTGAAACAACTTTCCCTCTTCACATTTTGAAAAAAAATTTTAGGCAGCACGCGACAGACACATGCAAATCACGCATTTTCCATATTACCAGTCCAATGTAATCTGAATATAGATGCATTTGTGTTTTTTGCCCTCGAGTCCTCCTTTTCCTTTATTCTTGAATTTCTCAAGATTCCAGCTCGAAACCATTTGAGCTCTATGCAACAAAATACAAAATGCATCACATTTCATACCACTTCAAAGAATGTTCTCCATTTTTGCCTTAAAAATCTAGAGAAGCAAATGTTGGACGAGTACCCTAAAACAATAATAAGTAAAGCCATCGTTGTACATCAGTAGAAAAACTGACTAACATACAAGGATAGCATAAATTCCATATGCTAAACTTCGTTAGTGATTCTGTGCTAGGCTCGGAACTAACGCATCAATTCCCTCCCCTCCCACCCCCCCCCCCCCCCCTCAACAATGACTTCAATACCTAGTTTTTCGCTGCTAATCACACCCTATCAATGCACTTTGCTGAGAAATTCACCTGCCATCAACATGGCGATAACCATTGTGCATGTCCCAAGTGCTTGAACAGCACGATGATATTCAGCTTCTTCTGGAGGTTAGTGTTTCTGTGGCTCACTTTTGAATTCGCTCTCATGAGCAGCTTGTGACGTAAAAACCGTGTACTTTGTTGATAAACTGATTGTCTGCACTGTATGAATGCACAGTTGATGTTTTCTATGTTATCATTAGGAGCAGCACTCTTCTTTCAATGCTTCAAATTAGCTATAAGAAGTTCACACACTTGCTTGGCTTTGAAAACAGAGCCAGACAAAAGCAGTTATTTTCTTGGTAATGTGTAATTCTTTTTTTTATATAAGCAATTTTTTAGGTTGCTAAGAGGTGTTTTTGCGCTAACCTCTACGTTTATCAGAGCAGTGCTTAGGTAGATTTGGTACCTTTTCCTTTTATGACTGTTGAGCAGAAGAGCCCCCAAACTGCCTCTTCTTCCTTCTCTTCACTTCCGGAACCTCAGAGCATGACATTCTGGAGCACATCATCCTGTTCCTGGAGGGTTTTGAATTTTCAAATTGTTCTCTTGATTTTCTGTAACTGCACTTTACAAGCACACGTAATTTGACGGCACATTTTCGTTGGAATGGGCCTAATGGAAGAGTTGCAATTCCCTTAGAGGTGGAGTGTTTGGCTCCAATTTTTCGCATTAGCAAGAAAAGGCTATGAGCTCACTATCTATGCCAGGAATGGAGGGAGTTTTGTATTTTAAAGATAAGTTAAAGGGGTCACACCCAAGGCTACAGAAGCTTAGACACTTTTTGAGGGGTTGCGCCCAACCCCATTAACTCATCTCCATAAAAGCTTTCACCCAAGTTTTATGTGAATCGCTAGCACAAACCTTAAAGATTCTACAACAGGTATTCGAGCTTACCTTGTCTCGTTTCGGCTTTGTGTGATGGTGTTAAAGCATAGGTAAAAACGGTGGTTTTAATTTTGACGGCACTCTTGATCCACTATTTGAAAGCGATATGAAGCCTAATTTTCAGCGCTTTTCTTCCTAACCTTAGATCGTAGTGTTTTCTTAATTTTTGAATGAATCCGATTCTAGATTGCGACACCCTCGGTCTTACCCCGGTTACGAGCTCCCAGGTGGGGCTTGACCCCACGCTCAACCCTGTTTATTGTTGATAAGAAGCTTCAACTCCAGCTTTTGCCCAAACATCATCTCAGAATAATTCACGGACGAGAAATTTGTCCTCAAGCTCCCCTAGTACAGTTCTCATTCCCTGCAAACGCTAGCTGAGGTACAGTATGGACGAAATCCCGATGTTGTGTTTCACTTCCATGAATGAACTCCATGCCTCGCAGCTTTGGCCATGTCTTGACCAAATTTTTCTGGTCAGTATCTACATGAGAAGATCAGCTACTCAGATTGCCTGATCATTACACTAGTCTATGTCATTAACATATTTAGATCATTGATGATCTCAAATGATCATAAATGAGTTTCGCTGGAGCTGATGCTGACAATCTTGTTGTCAGAATAAAACGCAAATACAATGGATAATCAAAGATGTAATCCTTTTTAAGAAAAAAAAATCCAGGCATTTAGCTGTAATGCATCATTATGCCGTCTCAACTTATAAAAGTTTTTTGAATACTTCATTACTTTCATGGGTTCATTTTTTGCTTAAAACACCATTATAGACTGTTGCTGACTACGAGTAATTGAAACTAAGTTTTCAAACAATTTTACCGCAAAAGCGTTGATTACGGTTCACTTCTATTGAGATAGGAACAGTACGTCAATCAGGCTACCAAAAAAATTTCGAAGGATCGAGCTGATTTCTTCAGAATTAACAAATTTCATTCTACAATGAAAATCGGTCATTTGCATGATTTTATATGTGTTTTACGTCTAATTTATGTGTTCCAGAATGCTAGCGACATTATCCACGATGTCATCGGGGAAGCATTTCGAGCAGCAAAACTCGCCAACTACACCGAAGCCATTGAGAAGATGGATAAACCAGAACCATGGCAGAGTAAGTGTTTTTTATACAATCACGATCTTAGACTAGGTCTTTTTTGTGTGTATTCTATGGATTTTCGTAAAAGGTAGGTGATCTTAGCTTTTACTCTGCAGGTAGGCTGATAAGAAAACGCATTACTGGAGCTTTCCCATTCCATTATGTAAATGTTTCTAATCTACATATTTCTGTGTTGAATGCTTTTTTATCTCCTTGCATCTCTTGATCTCCTTTCGCCCGCCTCGTCTTTCTTCTTCTATTTTGTGATTCAAATCAGGCTTCTCTACATTCACACCAAAAAATTTCCGATAGTGCTTCTTTGACTGAGAAAAGGAAGATTATTGAAAGCAAAAGATTTTATCGGAACCCCTCTGTCAGTTTTTCTATGAAAGAATTTTTTTACAACAGCGTTCATAATCACATTCTGGTCACATGAATGTTTGTCTCGTTGAGATTCATGACTATATGTCACCTCGGATTTTCTCAAGCAATCAACAGACTTTTGTGGGATTGCAAGTGAAAATCTAAGGGCTTAATTCTGTACTTTTTGAGAATCTAAGCTAAAAGGAAGAGTTCGAGCAACTTTTGATTGTGAAAAAGTCAGAGAGCAGCATTTTGGACGCTGGAAGAAAAGTAGCATACTTTTTTTAGTGAATTCATGGTTATGCTAAGATCTGGTAGCAATGAGCACGAATATAGAACATTATTGATAAGTTCATTTCATTTCGTCAATACGCTCAAGGCGTTCCAAATCAAAAACAACGAAGTATTAGTCATACATGAAAGCAACAGTAAAAATAGTCTACATTGGCGAGTGGTGATTTATATGAAGGTTTCTGTGTTACGAATGTTTCATTTGCCACATACAATCATGTAGTTACTGCTCTAAAAAACCACCTGAGGATGCCCTTGGTTTTTTAAAAAACATTGCTTGACAAAAGATTGAAAGAAACAGAAAAAACAAAACAAAAGAACTGTCACTCAAGCTGACAACTCCATCCGTACATAGCATCTGTTGGGTTATCGGCGGAAGTAAATTGAGAAATTCTGGATTAACTTATCACCTCTTATCAGCACGAGTTTTTACTATCTTGTGCTTTTTTGTACTACTAAAATGAGTTTACTGCATCTTATATGATTGATATGGTAAAATCAAGTCCGGCACAGCGTGATCTTTTTGCTGTGGAATCAGTTTTTTTTGTCGATATCGCAGATGTGCGGCAATGATCGAGAAATTTATAGCGCCAATTTTTTCGCGCACCATTGCTTAATGCTTGCTTTTCCTTTTCCGTTCATTTTATCTTATTTCTACACAGTGTTTTATATCCGCGTTATAATCATGCATAGGTGTGACATGAGTGAGCACTGTGTGCTTACTCGTAGGGTCTGAGGGCGGTGGTTTACTACTGCCATATACCTTGGTAGTATGTCCGGTTATCTTTGCAGTGCTCATATTCATGTTTTATGAAATTATGCGAAAGAAACTCGTGATGCTTTTAGGAATGTTCTTATAACCATTCCCTGCTCTCCGTCAAAGAAAAGCTCAATATCTTCGTAATTTAGAAGTACAACTTTGTTCCATAAGTTCGCAGCGTTTCATAAACCATCCAAATGACAAAGTTTTGTGAAAATTCACTCTATAATGTACTTTCGGCTGCGCAACCTTCTGCCCCCTTGCCGTCAGATTTTCAACTTCGTTTCTCCAAAATCCAGCAAGTCTGGTCCCAAAATAGTCGTTTAACCAACGCCTAAGATGTCTTTGGAATCGGAACAAGCACCGTTCATACGACTTGCAAAAGAGCAGGACAAACGATCATCTACCCTATTTTCAGGTGTATAAACCGCACCCTTTTTGCTCTAAATGCGAGCAGACCCAGGCATGCCGCCGCGCATATGCCTCGCGAAGCGGTCGCTTTATCGCATACTGCTCTCACTTAATGCGCTCCATGATGACAGTCAGTCTTTTGGCGTGTTCGCCTTTAGAGTGAAAAGGGTGGGGTGTATGTCAAGAGGCGCGATTCTTATTGCCAGATGGACACCAAAAAGCACATGATAAGTGTTTTATAACATTCAAAAAGTACTGAAATTTTAAGAGGAGATTTATTTAGGAGCTGCATGGGTTGCTCAATCTCGCTACCTTGGAATCAATTCAAAATAGCAATTTTAAAGGTCAAAAAACCATGAAAGTGCAGCCAAGAACAAATTCGTAAATATTTCGGTCCTTTTTCCAGCAAAAGCCATCAAACTCGGCGAGCGGTAACCTCAGACAGATATTAAACCAATGCACTTTATTTGATACTTTTTTAAGACTCGCATAGCACTAAATTGGAGTTTTGAGTTGGTGACAGCCGGAGAAATCGCGCCTCTTGACCGTCTCCCAAAAGGGTGCGGCTTATACACCTGAAAATAGGGTAGTAAGGCGTGGTTTGAGTAGTATATCGGATGCAAATATGTCTCCCAGTCAAGACTTGCGAGGTTTGCCATACGGAGACATACTCTGTCATTCAGAAAAATTCACTGAACCTGTCTTTTGAGAAATTTTTGCAGTAGGAATTTGTTTAGAAGGTGCAATTGGGTTGCGTGCGGTATGATTGGCCGTTTTTTTCTTGTTCAGCAATTTTCTGTGCATAATCTCCTGCCCGTTCTGAAAAGACTCTTTTTCAGGGGACACCCTGCAAATTCTTGGTTTCTTTTAAACAGTCTCATCCTTCCTTGTCTCATATTGACGGAAGCGCCATTTTCGATTCGGCAAAAAAAAAATCTGTGCAAAAATACTTTTTTGTAAGAAAAAATGAGTAGATGTAGGAAATGCTTCTTTTTGTCGTTTGAAAATTCCGCATTTGGAAGCTGAGAAATCGAAGCGGGTCGGCTTTCCACTGAAACCAATAGGTTCATTGCAAGGAGTATGGTCAGCTCTTTTCAAAAATATGCGCATCTTGCCGCAGAACAATCGCTTTCCAAAGAAACGAGGACGAGAATAAAAACGCTACGAACTTATGGAACGAACAATCGCTATAAAAATACACCTTGAGCAGTCAGAATTGATAATCACTTCGGCTATCGTGACCGTACCAAAGCTAGATTGATGATTAGTAGCATGTAGCTCTAACCATATTATTAACTTTACTTCCGTAAGAAAAACAATGATGCAGAAGCATTAGCGTCGGAAGCGACTGCTAGCACATGGACCATTTCGTGCTAGTCGAAAAAGATCAGACTGTCATATGTTTGACAGTTAGTACTCTTGCGTGCATCGTGATAACTTTTTCACAGTGCATTTAGCTCCAGACATGAGTTTCAAATACAAAAAAAGTTTACGAGTGTATGTGACCAGCAGTAGCCAAGAGATTGTTCTGGTCCTACAAAAGTGAAAACAAATTTTAAATCTCCGGGACTAAGTGATAACCAACATGCACCAAAATCGGAATAACAGATTCCGAAACGAGCACTCCTTAGGGGAATTGATAATGCCAATTTGCGAGCACAAAGCTGTCATACTCGTAACATTTTTTGAAATAACAGTTTCTAGTTTCTATATGTTCTCTGATCATGAAACTTGGGCATTGTTTTGAATTCACGAAATTTATTTATGGCTTAAACATTATTTCATGAGTTTTTATTTTCTGTGTGCGATACATTAATGGTTGCAGAAGCCTAAGAAAGTCTTGAAAAAGAGTCTTTTCTCAGAACATTTCGGCAAATCTATGGTAAAAAAGGATTATAAACCGTCGCTAACCGTTTAAATTCGATTTAATCTTATACCACATCTTAGTCTCGAATTTGTGCAGCCCTAACTCGAATTTTCACATATCTTGCACCAGCAAGAGCAATGCGGTACCAAAAACACAATACAACATGACGAATTGAATAGTTTTTCATGCAAATACCATCCAAATATTGTTTCGTTCCTCCAAATTTGAACATATGCAGTGACCTTAGCGTAAGAGAATCACCCGAGTAGTGTGAATTCGGCCCAGAATAGAAATCAACCAGCGAGAGTGCAGGGCAATAGCGAAAAATACAAAAAAAATACTCAATGAGAGACACTCAATATGCACAAAACAAGATAATTTATAATCGATCTACAGAATACTATGATAGCTTATGCTTGGATAAAAATCATTAAAATAAATGTTCTCTCATCAACCAAGCGTTCGCAAAGAAACAATTATAGTCTAGCTTGAAAATGTAAGCTCTTTCCATCCTTAGTTTGCAGTACTCTTAGGCCTGTAGCAGTGACGGTCTAAGAGGTGGGAGGGGGTGCCCCCTCCCCGAGAAAGGTAGCGAAATTGTTGAAATTTACCTACATGGGTTATAAAAATGCGAAAGTGATTTGTTTATCCTTGTAAATAATCAAAATACTTTCTAAAATCTCTTAAAATTTCAAATTGACCTCGTAAAATTTTTTTTCGGGGGCGTGGCTGTCACCACTCCCCCTTTTTCAAGATTTTGGTGTTATTGGCCCACAAAAATTTTCAAAAGTACCCCAGAAAATTTTTTTTCGGAGTGCCGGCTAGAGCCACACACCTCCATTTAAAAAAATTTTGCTGTCCCCCCCCCCCGGAAGGAAATCCTGGGGCTGCAACTGGCCTGTAGTAATCTTCCCAGAAACGTTACAATCATGAGCAGGCTAGGGTCGCGACACCTTAAAGCGAACCAGAACTTAGCTTAAGCTAATCGCCTTTCGCAAGTCATCATACCCAGCTATCCTTGGCATACCTCACCCGTCGAATTACGTCAGCTCAGGTCGCGACCCTAGCGCGAGATGCAAGTGTCTTCGCAAAACTTACATTCATGAACTTCATGTCTCTATCATTCTTGAGCTTTTTTACAGCCTTCGTTTCAATCTAAATTTTAAATTGCGTGAAAACCGGAAAACCTCTTTTTGGTAGCCTTATTACAATAATCGCGGACGAGTGTTCCGACGCTGATTTTTTGCGGTGCAACGTGACCTGCATCAGATAAACGGCTTGAAGGTGCCACGTGAGTGGCACATGGGACGTGCAAGCTTGTCCTATACGGAGGTATAGGGGAGCAGAAAGGTTAGGAGAGCGGCCGTATTAGGCTTTGGGCCAACGGAACTGATGATTTGCTATAGAGTCAAGCGGAAACCTATTGAAACTTATCAAAATCTGGGACAAGCCGTTTTGTTCGGATGCTGCCTTTGACAGCGAGCATAGCCACTGTACTATGTTTATTGTTATCGGGCCTTTCCATGGCGCTTATTTCGGATACGAGGCTCAAATTGCCAGGAATCTTCAAAATTGCCCCTTTTTGAAGCTCTATTTTGGAAGACGTGGACGAGTGCCTCGGCGCTGGTCATGTCATATGCAACAGTAAACTTTGTCGTGTGCAACGTGCCACATCGTAAACTATGCGTTCTCGACACTGCTTGTCATGTCAGAACATGTCACGGCACAATCCTTGGGTGGGCAGAGCGCGAAAAAGCGGGCGCGGCGCAAAGAAGATTCAGTATCCGTTATCTCCTTTGCAAGCTATTAACATTAGGCGACCGGACCAACGCGGTTGGTCGGTCTACTTTTAGGGCCTGCTAATAGGATAATTAGTAATCTGGGGTGAATAGATTTTGGTGGACGCGCCTTCAAACAATTCCCGACACATTTTTTTGTGCTAAATGCGTCTTATTTTGTCAATTCATAGTCTGTGTTCTATGAGTTGGTCTCTAAATCGACAATCTTAGGCCGCGAGCTTGGCGTAGCCAAGCTCCAGTTCGCGTTACTATTATGCGTCTCTCACCATGCGCACCACCTCTGCAAAATAATGGAGGTGACGTATTAGTTGGCGATATACGTTACGTTTGAGAATACCAGCTCTAGCTCGGGCCTTGGGTCTCGACCTGCGTTGCGCGATTTTTGTTTGTTAAAAATAGGCGGCGGGGACGAGTGGCGTAATGGTATAAGACGCCGCTATGACCAGATCGGACGCAGGTTCGATCCCCGCCCCTGGGCCGACCAAGCCCTCTACCCTCCGGGGCCGGTAAATTGGTACCAGAGTAATCTGGGAGGATAAAAGCACTGACTTGGAAACGGCTGGCCCCCGCAAGTCACTGTAATAGGCTCGCACGCATACTATTGCCTCTTCGACCATGAAGTTAGTGTGTGCGTTCGGCGCATGCCCTCCGAGGGTATTGAAGACGCCGAATCCTTTATCCTTTATCCTTTAAAAATAGGCGGCAAATTGATCAATGGCCTGCGAAGTGAAACTCTGCTTGAGGAGTTGCGACCTTGTAAGTCCCTGCAAGGGGATTTACGATGGGCCCTAGAAGTAAAGCGTACTGCATGACGAAGGCGCAGAAGCAATATCAGTTGAGCGGTCGCGAGCGCGGCGTGCGCGTATCTACACCGTTATAAATCCTGCGCCTCATGCGCTCTGCGGCTAAAGTCGCGGTTCGCGCCCTAAGTTATTGCGCCTTCGTCATGCAGTAGCCTATATGTTTGAGGCCACTGACTGTAAGGGCTTTCCAGTTTTTCTTTTGATTCTGATGATCCTCGTCCACAGGAGATTTCAATCCAATTGGTGAATATTAGCATGAAAATCTAAGGTCTCACATCAGAATACTTACTGAGAACCCCCTTTTGCTAAAGGTTTGGAAAAATACGATTAGAAAAAACCTTTTCAAGATTGCACCAGGCAAGAGTAGTCCGCGTCGTTGTCAATGCGTTATACTACCCAATAAGTGGGAAGCATTTTTTGCGGAAGATTCTAGAAATCTTAAACTAAGCTTACACCAATGAGTTTAATTCGCTCAGTGGCGAACCAAGAGGTTAGAAGGGTAGGTAGCAAATCTTGAAAGCTCACATGGTTGCGCAGTTGCGCAAGTGACCTGTTTTTATTTGTAAATGATTAGAATGATTTTTTGAAATCTTCAGAAAATTCAAATTGACCATGTAAAAACTTTTTCAAAGGCGTGGCTGCTGCCATTAAGCCAGCTAAGATTGTGCAAAGCATTGCATGGATTTTTTCAGAAATCACTGCTATAGGTACCTTTACTCGAAAAGTTTTCACTGTCCCCCCCCCCCCCCCCCCACCCTCAAGGAAAATTTCGCGGCAGCCATGAAATCGTCTGATTTTGTGTGATTGGTCTCTGGGATAAATGCTTGTTGTACAGCTTTTTTTCTAGGGAGTATGGAAGGCCAAGCAGAACAAATTGTTCATTGGTTTTTATTGGCAGTGTGACGAGCAAATTTGTACACTAAAATATGGTCGCAAAGCTATTTGCACTCATTTTTCAAAATTGATGATCGTCAAGATAAGGGTCAAATTTTTATTACAGTCTGAATTTCACCGCTCGACAAAGCTTTGCAATTTTGCAAAGGCCCTCCAAGAAGTCCGCTAAAACCCTTTTGTTCCTCATTGTCGCATATCATCTGCACAAGCTAATAAATCACTTAAGAGACACTAAATCATCGGTTTTGCGCCAAAGGCGGTGAATTAGCGCTGTCTGCGCAGCTTTTTTGTTGTTGTAATTTATGGTGCGTTTCGTTTCGAGATGCCTATCTTGCATGTGTGTGTGTACAGTCGGCTATTCGAATGATGCTTATCTATTGATCTTGAGATAACTGTTGTTTTAAGTACCGAACACTTCATCATCCTCATGTTCAGAGACAATGGCGCATTCGGAGGTTAGACTTGATTGAGGAAAGGGGGTTGGAAACTTGATTAGTTGAGGTATTTTTTCATGAACACTAAAAATTCGCTAAGTTGTAGCTAAATTGTGACAGTTTTCACATCTCTTTCAAAATTTGAGAAATTATTGTAAATAAGTCATTTGCACATTTTCTCCATTCATGTAATTATAATATTAGTTTGGCGCAAAAATGATGTCCGTTCTTCTAAACCTGTTTTACAAACACTTGTTTTTCATCAAAAATTCTTTTTCGATACAGATTTTGCATATCACTGGAAAGCATTATTCCTGTGCTTTCTAATGGTGGCGTAATTAGGCTTCTTTCCTCATCTGCGACAATTTTACCAGCATTTTGCATAGTAGCACTGGAATCGAAATTTTATTGCTTTTACTCTATTGACACATTCGGGCGTAGATGAACTAATTATTTCGGAAACACAACTACTGTAAGGGATGGCACTGGTATACCTACTGCATGTATAAGTAGATTATTCGAAAATATCTGGACTGAAAAATCGACGCCTTAAAATAGATTCTCGCCGTTGGCATGCTATGGGTCAAATATTTCTCATGATTAAGGCAATCGCCGAAGCTTCGCTCATTTCGAAAAAAATGTAAGCAAGATGTCCTAATTTTAAGTTTACAGGATTGAACTTAAGAACATCTTGCTACAATTTTTAGGGGAAAAGTTAGCTATTCATTTCACGAGAATTCCAAATTTTCGTTATTTGGGACGTTCAGGCTTACCAAAAATGTGCTCAAAATAGCAAACAATTTTGGATTTTTATCTTTACCCTTAGCAGAACTCCTTCGTCAAAGATTTTTCAAGAGAAAAACTTTCGGGTTTTTGACGCATGGTTATCTTCGCGTTGGCGATGTCAGTACGCGCAGGTGCGCGTTCATTTACGAAAGGTTTGCTGCATCTGCTGGTCTCGACTACATCTAGAAATATGAAAATTGGACAAATCTATAATTTTCAAAGTGAAACTTTGCAAAACGCACATTATTTTTGCATCAACCTAATAACTTCCAAAACTTCGCAACCCATTCTCGGGAGGGGGGGGGGTAGGGCTTGGTACGCCATTGCTGTCTACGCACTGCCTAATAAAATTATACTTAAATGAAATATTACAAATCACTTAAATTTAGAAGTTTTGCAACATTTTTGTGAACTCGTAGAAATGTCTATTGTCAACATTCCTTATTCTCGGTGATTCGGAGGAAAGAAGTTATATGCTCCCGAAAGTTGCTCGAAAGTAGAGCAAGAAATGTTTTTGGCAAAGTGGCGACACAAGCGGGAGAATACTCAGAATATATTTTCTCGAAATTTGCTCGGCTAAATGGTCCATTTAGATTTCGATTTTTCTGATCATGTTATGAAATACTTCTTTTTAAGGATAGCTGTGGTGTTTTTTCAGATAACTGTGTTTCTTGGACTTTTTCTTTGACTCTTTGAATTTGTTCCATGATTTTTACCATGTACATACCATGACAAATAGTATTCCACATAACAAAAAATATCTTCTATAAATATATTTGTTCTAGACAATTTTTGAATATCGACTGGCGTAACTAATAGTAGGTCACCTCTAATGAAACTGAGATTCTGATGGTTCTGGCTTATCTTTAACCATAGCACGTACTTTGCTCTCTTCAAAATATTTAGAATGCACTCCACACCAAAAACATAGTTTGAAAAGTCTTTAATCTGCAATTAATCTTCATCTTGCATGACTTTCATGAATATAGCTATGAAATTCACTGTGACCGTTTACAATTCATCAGTTCCTCTAAAAAATGTAAAAAATGTTCCATTGTTTGGCAAAATTGAAATTATATCTGCAGAACAACGAAGTGGATCGACAAAACTATATGCAGCCATGTGTTTGTTTTTCAAATATTTGTTTTCAGCATGGGTTTTCGGTATGCTGATCATCTCTGCATGTTCGTTTTCGGCGCCACTGGGTATGCTGGTCCTACCGTGCCTCAGCAAATCTCTTTACGAGCGGACCATGATTTTTCTTATCGCTCTTGGCATCGGTGCGCTCAGTGGCTCGGCTATGTTTATTATGATACCGCAAGTAAGTTTGACGTTCAGTTTTTGCCTATTACAAATATTCTTTTGTTTCATGATTTTTGATAACCCATGTAAGATCTAAGGATCTATTGTCTAGCATTATGGTTAGTATTAATCTTTTATGTCCTGAATGTCTAATTCAATGCTTCCACATATACAGGGTGTCTCAAAAATGTACCGAATGTGTATTTCCAAATTTTGCGCAGACTCATACCATATTGTAGAGCTGGTTTCAACTCATATTTTAGTGCAGAAATAAGGAATAAGTTGGAAATTTTCAGCACTCTGCTGATTTTCTAAAGGGTTCAATCTCACTATGCATTTCTGGGCAAGCTCATCTCAATAAAAAATCTCTAAAGACTTTTCAAACGGTACATCTTTATTTGGGAAATATGGGAAACAACCATGTACTTTCGAACGAAAATCATTGTAAAGCACAGAATTTATTATTTAGAATCAGCTACTCCCGTTTACATAGTAACAGGGTTTCAGTTTCGTGAGGTCTTGTAATCGGCATTTTCCGACTTCGAACCGCTCAAAGTCCTAGTGAAACTTGTTACCGTAACCCTACAACAAAGAACACTTTGTGATTCTTTTGCTTGTTAGAAAGCAATGCTTAATTCGCGCAAAGTTTGGCAACGGCATAGGCATCAAGAGTCAAATACTCCATACATTTTTGAGTCATCATATTCCATCTCATAAAGGTCATAAGTTTTGAAATGTAGCAGTTGTGAATCTCCTAAGCAGCAGAAGATTCACCTAATTTAGGCATTCCACCTAACGGAGTTGGATAACTTTACTTATCATTCCAAATCCGCAATAATAGTGGGAGCGTTATATGCCTTCTTCACCGTGGATAGGATTTTACAGTACGCCTTAGAGTTTCGAAGGGTATGTGAAATTAATATTGTATATATGAGCAAAGAAAAATTCCATTTTTGGCCTGTTTCCAAAAGAACGATTCTGCTCTCTTTTTCCAGTCAATAAATAACTAAAACATTTTGTAGAGAAGGCAAGCGAAGCGGAAAGTCCACACATCCACTATCGTATCGATAATGAACAACACACCAAAAGTAAAGGTAGGTACTTTATCTCGCGATTCGCTGCTGTGCTAAGACACAAAAAGTTCTGACAAAATACGATTCCGAGCACTTTCGGTCTTCTTTCAAGGAGTTTTTTGGTACGAACACAGTCTATCCGCGTGCTAGACTCGGCAAAGATCAGTCAAGGTATCAGAAAAAATTGAGAGCTGCACAAATCTCGAAGGAGGCTAGTATTCAGTAGAACGCTTGTACTAACCAACGTTCACACTCATACTGAGAAATTTGTTTGCGAAATATGACCTATGTAAAAGAATATCGTAAAAAATATCTATAATTGTTCGATAGTTTCTCTTTTTCCCACCAAAAGGCTTTCGTGTTTCTTAGGTCCAAACTTTGCTAGAATATATAGGAAATGCTGAAAATAAAAGTAGTATGTGAAGGACGACTGAGATAGTGATCCGTAATATTTATTATAAAGTGATCCGTAATATTTATTATAAAGCTTTTCCCCCTAGCCATTGGAAGTTTTTATTTAATCTGTATTGCGCCTTGTAGTCGAATCAAGCACCTAATATTGGTTTTGTGATTAATCAAGAAGAACATGAATATTTTATCTTGATTTTTTGCTTTGATAAATTTACCGAGATTCAATTTGATTTTGGACTCATTGTGCAGACTCCAAAACTTTCAGTCTATCGTCTAATAGAATTATGCAAAGAACTATCTAACGAATTAATTATTTCGTTAGTCTTCAGAGGTTTCTAGAAAGTACAAAAAGTTCGCTTACATATGGCTTACAACTTACTGGAGCTGATAGTTGAGCAACATTGACTGCTTGGGATATCAGCCTGGTTCAAGCAACAAATAAAAGCCTCAGTGTATTTCAGGTGAGAAATGGAACCGAGGAGACAACCTTGGACGGTTCAATGTCAAACGGAGGCATTGGAAGCCGAAGAAGCAGCACTCCAAAAATAAAAGAAGTCGATGAAGAAAAGGAGAAAGCAGAGTTGGCGGTGGGTTTGCACTTATAACTCACTCAAGCACAATTTTGCTTGATGATTTGTCTGTTTTTTGATTTTTCTCAATATTGATAGTAGTTTAGGAAGAAGTGGGGATCGCGATGTTAAATAATGCGTTTGCGCGATCGGTAGGTGTTGTGTACTAAGGTCTTGAAAATCTGAAATGAATTGAAAATCTCCAGTTCTCTAGCCGACGACGCTTTGCAGTTATGAGCGCCGTAGATGGTATCGAGCTGAGAGAAACGAGTCGAAAAAATAGTGAAGCTCCTGTGAGTTTTCTTTTTCGACTGCCTAGTCCGTGTTCTGGAACTGGCACGCCCTTACATCTTCAATTTTTCGCAGTTCAGTCGCACCAGTTTGTACGATTGTGGTACTGTCAATCTTCTTTTTGAGCAGTTATAATTTTAGTTGTCAGAATCTGGGACTGTCACGCCCACAATTAATGAATCGTATAAAAATAGATTATTAGGAATGTTGCCCTTAGCTGAGCCTCGTACATTGAACCCTATTCTGTGCACTAAAGATCCTATTATACCTCATTTTTGACTTTTTTGTTCTTTAGGGTCGAAATGAATTTCTGGAAACCGTCAACACCGAGATATCAATGGTGAGAGTTTTACAGAAAAATTTTTTTGGCTTATAGCATTAGACTCTAATTTCCAGAACCAAGATCGACTTTTGAAGTTAAATAGTGACGGTTTTAGGGTGAGTCAAAAATTTTGCCGAAAATTTCACACCAGTGTGACTCTAGATTTTCACTACAACATAGAATAAATTTTACAGTCTCGGGCTCAATCTACCGTAAAAAGCCTTGAAGACGCCCGCGAGTCAGGAAAACAGGAAAAGAAGGTCTGTTATACATCTACGAACTTACCCAAAGACAATCCCCTTGAACTTTTCAATTTGCTGAAAAGCTCTCCTGCCGCAGGCCTGCAACTGCCTAGAAATTTTTTTTTCTACAGAAAAGTTTCGTCATGAAAATTTCTTTGACAAATAAATGATGCTTGCAGGTTAGCGACGAGGAAGTATCAGTGGATGTGAAAATCGTTGAAAAACGCATGGTTGATCCGACCGCAATCGAAGTCGGCAGCGTTGCCTATATGATTATTTTCGGATCTAGTGCGAACAATTTTGTTGATGGAATGAGCACAGGTGGAGATTTTTCTTTTCCATTTACTATGGTAATTTTGGAAAAAATCTAAAACCTTTCAGGTGCCGCCTTTTCGGATAGCATCTTGCGAGGTCTAAGCATAGGCATCGCTGTTCTGTCGCAACAGTTTCCTCAAGAACTGGGTAAGAAATCCTGTGTATTGGATTGGTAGGAAAGAACCAAATCTTGGGAAATTCTTCTAAAAATAATCGTAAAAAACCCTTTCAATTTATAGTATACCCGGGATGGAATATTCATAATATGTATGCATTCATTATGTGCATCTACAGCTCCTAGAGAGAGTTTCCAGTAATTGAAAATATTCGTAAGGAACGCTTTTGATTGGTACTATATTTCGAGATGATTATATCTAAAACATACAATACACAAGAATTTATACATGTACACCTTCTGAAAGGAAAACTATCTCTATATTCTTCAAATAATCAGTGATAAAGCCTCACTTAATTGACCATGGAGATTTTCCCGCATTTTTCAACATGAGCATTGAAAAATATGGTTATGATCAACTTACCATCGAACACTGATATCAGCTTGCTTGCTTCTGTTGTGAGTATGCTTTCTTTTTTCAGGAACCCTTGCCATTCTCATCAACTCTGGTCTAGGGTTTCGACGAACTATGCTGTACAATCTTATACCAATTGTTCTCAGCTATGTTGGATTCGCTTGCGGAGTTTTGTTAGACAATATCGACGAGAGTTTCGACACATATATATTCTCGATATCTTCCGGAATGTATCTGTATATCTTTCTTGGAACTTTGGTAAGGAAACCACCATTTCATTGCTTTATATTTGCAAGTGGAAATCGTTTTTGTAGCAAGTCTCACAAAGTGCTCCAGCAAATCTTTTGCGGTAAAATGCGTGATTCAAAACTTACCTACTCACTTTTTGCTGGAGATAGTAAAAAGCATGAAGGGAAGGCAAAGCCGAGTTATGCTTTTCGATTCTTGGTATAGCCATCTCCCACGTGACTAATTCTCTCCGTACAAGCAGCGAATTATTTCTCGCAATATTTCTTTGGACGTCCCTCATCTAACCAAAGTCACTTGAGGATGTTGCTGTTGCTTTTGAAGCATCTCAAAATGTACTGAATTAGCTCCTGTACACACGCTTCTCTGATTTCTGCGCTAAGTACTAAATCTTCTTTTCTGAAGTTATATATGTAGATTCCAAGGACAAATTACATAGATTACGGTGTTTTGCGCTTTTTGAACATCGCATCCACGATTAGCGTCTTGAAAATGCCGCGCACTCGAAGGAAGTCGAGAAAGTTGGTGGACGCTTTCTTCGAAGTTAGCTGAGCTCAAGAATTAAATATTATCCGGCAAAACAGTGAGTGCGGAGTAGTAGCTTTTAAAGCTCACAATGCTTCGCTCATAGTAGATTTCACTCCAGCATTATCGATATGTAGCTGAAGAAGATTTGAGTGCTTAATGCCTTCAGATAATGATATGTGTCTGTAAACAATACTGCAAAATAGTTGATATTGACAATTTTGCCCAAACAAGTTTTTTGCTACTCTCTCACCTCCCCCTCCCCCCTGGGCAGCACTCCTCTCAACAGGTGCAACTTTTGAGACCAACATCAGCACTCACTCATTTTCTATACTTAGCTTCTTTTGTCTATGGTGCTCACTCAATCCATCATGTTGGTCTCGTTTTCGGCGGCGCATACAGATTTTATCGCTGGCACTCACGTCACTGTTCGCTTCCAACATTTATAAAGAGTCTGGGGACAACCCTTTTATCTTTGCATGGAGTATAATTTCAACAAGTAATTGAAAATGAAATTTTCAGATTCCGGAAATACGGGATAGTGTCAATGAGCTAATGAAGGTGGATATGGCTGAAAGTCTGCTTGTCACGCTGTTACAGTACCTTGGCATTGCATTTGGCATAGCCTTTATGTTCTACATGAGTCTCATGGGAGATGTGGAACTCTAATTTTTCCCAATTTTAAAGTTTTCAACTATAAGCTGAGCTTACAAAAGGAGTCTCAAGATTCTCACTCACTGTTCGTTGAATCTTATCAAAGCAAGTTAGACAAAGACAATTTTGTACCCAGGGAACTGAATGTGATTTCTAAAAATGTACTCGCTCAGGGAAATATGCATGTTTTTGCAAAATTATTTGGTGATTCTGACAGCGAAATCGTTGGTGACATCTAGAGCAACTTTACAGCGATAAATTAATTTTTGCAGAATTGAAAAAGCTGAATGAAAACTGCGAAAGATCATGTGAGTTGAGTTTTGAGTCGTTCCGGTTCTGCATGGAAGAATACTTGGCAGGCTTCCAGAAAAACTTGTAGCTGTTTTTGTTATGCTTTCTGCAAAACTGAAGTGCCAAACAACACCTTTCACGGCATCATATATGTCTTTAGTGCAAGTACGGAATAAGCTAATAAGGATAGAATTTAGTGGTAAACATTTTACATATTTTATGCTCATTGTCAGTAATTTTTTGTGAATTCTTACTAGCGGATATGCACAGAAACTCATAGGGAATACCCTAAGTGAAATACAGCAAGAGATCAAACATAACATCATGGCTGAACATCAGATAACTTCCAAAACTGAATTAGTTTTTATGCGTACCTATTTTGAATAGAATCAAGATGATTGCATAATAAAACACTGTATTATGAAGTAGTTAGCAGTATATTCTTGAAGCTTGCCAGTGAATTCTGGATCGACATGAATTGGATGCAGCGGTGCTCCAACTCATGTCGTATTCTAGGTGTAATTATTATATATTCTGTGTACTTGTTTCTATATATTACGTATCAAAATCACCACTACTGACGGGTTCTTTGAGTACTTTACTATTGTGTGCATCTGTCCCGTTTTATGCCTGATCTGCTTTTTGTAATATAGAATGTTCCAATTTCTTACGTATACATAGCCAAAGTTGAATCGGTGTTGTCAATCTTGTCACAGATGTGAGTAAAATAAATTTATTCAGTTTTGTTCGTGTTGTGATTCATTCGTACCATGCATAGTCGAACAGATTGTGTTTGTTGACAGTGGAGGTTTAGTGAAAATTGGAAATGCTTTTCTTGTGCTGAAATAAATGGTTCTGTGCCACACTCACACAGCAAAGGTCACCTTCGATCTAAGGCAGCAATATCGTGGATTTTGCAAAAATTCATGAGCTTGCATCCAGCAGCATGTCTTATACTTAGCTTCCTTGAAACCGAAACTTCTGCATTGTTCTTCTCGACAAAGGTAGTGTCATGATTTGCTTCAATGCTGGTATATAAATTTTCCACCAAATATTTCTGGTGATTTCTCCGAAATCTCTAGATGTATTCTATTATGTAAATATTTTTCCTCTGAAAGAAATACCTGAGTTTGAATGGAAATCCAATTAGAACTTTCTGTATTGATTCTCTGCCAGCAATTTTATTCTATTTTATTGTATTATTTTATTTTATTTTATTTTATTCTTCAGAAGAAGCAGTTCATTAAAAAACCGGAGGAAGCAAAATTACTTGGACCTTCCATTCTTAGCTGTAGAAAATAAGAGCCTTCATTAGATTTTGACAGCATTAGCTTCTGCTTTGACCACTATTAGAATATGCATTTCCTTTTGAGTTTTTATCAAACGATTTGAATCTAGAGAAACTTCAAAAATTGTGGTGTAAGACCTGTATCCGATACGATCCCAAAAGAATTGTGGAAAACAGAACCATGGCTAAATTTTAAAAACAAAAGAAGGATCGACTTCTGATCGACAAGAGATTGACATTCAGCCAAGTATATGTACAATATAGTAAATCAAGCAGTTTTTATGATATTGGGCTTTGATATGGTTTGCTACAGTCTTTGATTGTAGAAACCTTTACCATAACTGATACAGTATGCAGTATGATAAACAGGATGTGTGTTTATCTTTTGAATAACTTTACAGTGCATTAATTTCTGAATGCACTGATAGTTAGCATAAAGCACGTTGCAGATAAATACTTTTATTTAGATGCTGATAACGACATAAAACTGGGTTTATCCTCCAGGACCTTGAATAGTAATACCACCGCAGCCGGGTGTGTAAGATACACATATACCGTTGCGTCTAAAATATCCTTCTCTGCACTGACATTTTCCGGGCTGGCATATCTCCGGGCAGAGCTGAACAAGTTGTTATTTATTGACGAAAACTGAAGTCCTAAAAAATTACCGGAGCAGGAGAAGCACAGCTCGGTTCGCAGAATTGAGCGCAATCGCGCCATTCTTCATTCACACCGCAATTACGGTATGGTCTGCAGGATCTCACCGGCCAGCTGGAATTGTTGAAATTTGTTACAACGCTGCAAACATCCAATTCAACAAGTCTTGTAACAAAAATGATCATCAGTATCAAAATTAGCTTGCATTCGGTAGTATTCTGGCTCAGCACATAAGTTAATCAACACATTATTATCCTAAAAAATAGGTACTGGGTAAGAGGTTAGGGCTAGGTTTTCTGGCCACGAATGTATTATGTAAGCTGACCTTTCATAAAACCATGAAGATTATAGAATTTATTTGTAGCCCTGAAGCTCATCCCCAAACTCTCGCTCATACCGTAGTCCTTTTGAGAGGGCAACGTCCTTGGGTACGGTATGTGCGGAGTTTTTGGATGTCTCGGCCATGCATAGTTTTGGGGCATAGGCTTGAATAAAGCTTCGGACTCAGTACCACTCAACAAGACCACATACAGATTTGCTTGGTTTTTTTTCTTTTCGAAAATGCTTGACAAAAATGATTTTTGTTAAATCCAAATAGATTTTCTAGAAGCGTCGGAAACATTTCCAAAGTCTTTGATATACCTACCAGGGACCCCTCACGCAAACCACTTCGTCCAGCTGACATCGTTGGCCATTTGGGCATGGATTATTCGTACATGTCTGATCTGAACAGATTTTTGAATCCATTCTTTGTAAAACAATGCCCAGAAATTATGAATACTCACTTCGGGGATGCATTTCTGAATCAGTTCACAATTCTGATTGTTACCGCAGTACTGTGGTCGCACATATTCGCAAACACAGTATGTCCTACAAAGGTCGCAGGTCTTATTTGCACAAGTTTGGGATCCCTGAAATTGTTATTTTGTGTATATCATGCAGAATCTTTAATGATATAAAAGGAAAGAGTGATGACCAAATATCATGAAAAATCGAAGGATAAATCGTCACAAACCTCCATAGCCTCCACCTACACAATCTGCAGCCAATGTTGAAGAAATGAAGAACGCCTGAAATTAAATTTCTAATAAAAGCAAATGTGTACATTGTTTGAATGGGGACTCACCACAGCGAAAATTATTTGTAGGCGAACACCCATTGCTGCGCAGTTGCATCTAGTTATTTTCGCGTTTATTACCTATCGGTAGCAAAAATATACAATTCAAATTACCCACTGATATTAGTAGTTTTTTTGGTAATCTGCAACAAAATACCATTCCAGCAAAATATTTTCGCGATAAGTGCAAAAATCATTTTGTGCAACATCACGTATTTGAGAATGCAAGAATTGCTTTTGCTGAACAAAACTGGATAAAATATAGTATTTTTCGATAAATGACGATATTTCAGGAAATGGAGCTTATAAATAGTCGAATGATTTAGAAATTTAAGATCTTGAAATGTCTCGTGACTGAACTCAGCTTGATTGGGATATATACAGGGATCAGCAAGGTGGCTCCTTCACCGTTGGGTATTGTTTTTCAAGGGAAAGCAAATGGAAAATTGTAAAGTTTTTCCATGATTCCCGGATTTTCTTACGCTTAGCAAGGCCGAAGTTGAGGCTCTAACGTCAATTTAACAGTAACAGGTAAAACACTCAACACGGTCAGTGCATAAACATGTGTACATAAGACCCCACCTTGTTAGAACCTTTGGTTTCAATGCACAAAAGATAAACGATCAGTTTGTTTACAAGGACTAGGCAATATTGAGCTAACAAAATCCTGTGTAGCTCAGCGATTATATTGAGAGAAAAGTAGAAAAAATTATGCAAAAATTTTGGGAATGAAAGCATTTGTAAGTAATTTGTACTTTAGGTTGGTGCCGCGCAACATATGAGCACCCTGAGGTTTCTCGCGACCACATATTCATGATTTACCCCTTTTCTCACATAGCTTTAAAAGTTTCCAAATCAATCTTTTTCTAGTTCAAGCTCTACCTATGAGCACTCACCTTGACTCAAGTTTTGCCCCCTATGCTTTGCTACGGCCCTTAATGCAAAAAACCTTTTTTTCACTTTCACTTGCTTTATCTTCAGCTTTCCTGATTTTCTTCAGTTCTATTCAATCATCGTCCGCTGTAGATAATAGCCCGTACTTCTATTAGGTTGTCAAGAAAATAACGTCGTTTTTTATTTGCTTGCTATAACGAAGCAGCCAGACTCAACCCAACAAAGGATAAGGGATACTGTCCGATAGAGTAAAGCAATCTTTACAAGATGGCGTTCATGATTTTGTGCCAAGCTCGATCCAAGAAGTTTTGAACTCAAAATCTAAAGACTTCCAAATGCTCAAAAAATCGAAAAAACCCAGATCTTTGTTCAAATAATTTATACGGACCTCCCACTCACATACTTCAATGCTTTCGATATCAGACACCCATATGTGCAGTTGCTGTGTTTTCTCCTTGACTAGAAACAGAGAAAACGAAAACTTTTTATGAATTTCGCAAAGCAATGTTGAGCCCTTCTTGCATATGTAGTTCTACACTAGAAGCCTAGGTAAGTGTAACTGTAGATTTTCAGCCCTCCCAAGCGGTAGTTTTCCTGAAACATTGAATTCAGCTTTCTTCTTTTCAGTTTCAGTGCTGAAATCGACATTTTTCAAATACCGTCGGAATAGGCTGAAATTCTACAGTTACACTTAACTAGGTTTGTAATATAGATTTACATATGCATGAATGACTCAGCACTGCTTTGAGGGTAGAAAGTTTTCGTTTTCTCATTTTCTCGTCAAGGAAAAAATACAACAACTGCACAAATGGGTGTCTGATTTTGAATCTATTGAAGTCTGTGAGTGTGAAGTCCCTATAAATTATTTGGACGGAGATCTGATTTTTTTCGATTTTTTGGGCACTTGGAAATCTTTAGATTTTGAGTTCAAAACTTCGTGGATCGAGCTTGGCGCAAAATCATGAAAGTCATCTTGTAGAGATTGCTTTGCTCTATCGGACAGTATCCCTTATCCTTTGTTGGGTTGAGTCTGGTTGCTTCGTTAAAGCAAGCAAATAAGGAACGAAATTATTTTCTTCACAACCTAATACAATCACAAAAGATAATTCGTGATTTTCAGCAACGCCAAAAGGAACTTCATCGATATTCTCAAATGCCACCTCGTGCTGGGCCTCGGATATGCAACCGACTCCTAGCATCGATCCGTGCGTATTGTGACACCTTTAAAGAAGAAAACCAACATAAGCTCAATTAAGATATGCACGCTAACTCTGACATAGTCCCTACAGTCTATTGTGGCACTCTTAAATGAAAAGCAATTTTTACTGGTTCAAATGTCAATCAGCTGCCAGAACTTGTCCAATGATCTCTATACATACATAGCCTTACAGTGGCAGAGCACATTGCTGTCATTGATAACGGATGGTCACTGCTACACAACATTTTACTGGCATTTCAAACGAGGAACTTTTTGAAGAATTCTAGAACTAATTCTAGACTTTCCGTGTCGATTTCCTTGCGGCACATAAAGAAAAGAGTTCCAGAAAAGTTTTGAACCTTCTCGGTTTTTCCGCCTTCTCTGAGACGCTGGTGACATGTGTTTCAAAAAATGATAGTAGATAAGAAGCAAACAAGGGCTATAAAAAATTTTGAGAAATCTCTTCTGGGATTTGACGGAAACATAAGGAAATATTTACTAAAAATTATTGGCTAACTTATACAGCCTTGAAATGCTATAACAAATATAATTGTGAATCGATGTCCAGAATGAGCAGCATTCCATGGTGGTTACAAGAAAATGGAGACCAAGTAAGGAGGCTTTTTTTATTGGTTTAAGTTTCTTTCTCCGATCGTTGTTTGTGGAAATCAAAAATATCAGTGTAATCAATAAAGTTTGTATAAAAACAATGTGTGATATTCTGCCAAATAGCTTAGTGCTGCATTTGTATTATATTTTGATCTGTATTGTTAGCGAGATGCTCATCGCTGGTAAACATTTATTAAGATAAATGTTAAAAACATCGATGAAAACATCGATAAAAATTAGTTTAGGCCTCAAATAGTGATACCATGGGTGTGTATAAACATAGACCGTTGCGTCGAAGGTATCCTTCTCAGTTACGGTACGCAGGATCTCACCGGCCAGCTAAAAAAATTTTTTATTAGTCATAGACAATCATTTCAGAATTCTTAGTGCAAAAGCATTATAAAGAATATAGGGCTCCGACAGTCTAGTGCTTAGATTCTACGGTAATTTGGAAAGGATACGGCATTGAGTGAGGATTTAGAGCAATTCCTTCGCCATGCATGAGTCATGTAAGATAATCTCCAACCCAACCATTGCCAAAAGCGACCTTGTCCAGTTTATTCGCGGTCAAAAAATCTGCTGCGAACTTCGCCCAGTACTGTTATCGTATCCTTTCTGAATAAATTTAAGCACGAGAGAGCAGAGATAAAGTCCACAGTTGGATTTTTCAGCCTCAAATAAACATAGGAGCTACGGTTTAAAAAATGGCTTAGACACATAAAGCTTCTTTATCACCATCCGCTTAGCAAAACCAGGGCAGATTGCCGTACACTACCTTTTGAGCATACTATAGCATACCTTGTGAAATTGTTCAAAAGAACTCCGATATTTGTTAATTTCAAATAACTTTCTGTGCTTCAAACATCAAAAACGCTCATGATGCTTTGATTTACTTACCAAGGAGCCCTCACGCAAACGACTTCATCCAGCTGACATCTTTGGCCATTTGGGCATGAATTATCTGTGCATGTCTGATCTAAATAAAATCATGAATCCATTTGTGAAATAATGACCAAATAATATAAATTTCCACCTCGAGGAATACACTTTTGTATCAATTCGCAATTCTGGTCGTCACCGCAAAACTGTGGTCGCACATATGCGCAAACACAGTCAGTACCGTACGTTTCACAGTACTCACATGTCTCATTTATGCAAGTTTTGGGCTCTGAACCTGCAGAATCTAATGTGATACGAGAAAGATTGAATGAATATGTAAAATGGAATATTCAGTGAATTGATATGTTTCATAATCACAAACCTTCATCTCCACAATCTTTAGCAAATGTCGCGGTAATGAATAAAGTCTGGAACAGAATTTCTAACAGAAGCAAACTTCTCATTTAAATGGGAACTCACAACAGCCAAGTAGATCAGGCGAACCATTGCTGCAAAGTTGTGTCGTGATCTCTTTTATCACCTATCGACAGCGATTATACAATTCAAATTATTTGCGAAATATTGCTGATTTAGTAATACTGCACTAGATTACCATCTAGCAAAATATTTTTGTAATTGGACAGTGCAAAAGTCATTTTATGCAACGTCATGTATATGTGAATGCAAGAATCAAAATCAGATTGAAATAGTGCAAAAAACTTTGACTATATTCCAAAAACTGGATCTTATGAATAGTCAGGGAATTTTTGACAAACATGAGGTTTGAACTGTTGCGGGATTGAACTGACTGATCCGATTTTCTTACTGATTTTGCTCTACTTTGGAAACAAAGAAAATTCTAAGTTGTGAAGGGATTTTGGGATGACACGACGATTAAATTCATTTCTTTGCGAAAAGAAAGGATCAATGGGCTGTTTTCTACTGACCCAGAGTAAAGAAATGAGAACACTTTGTTTTGATAGCGTTATTGAAATGCAGTTAAACAAGAGATATATTTTGGCGGTCACTTCAGCCTTGGATCAGAGGTCACACTTGCTCGTTTCCGTTGTTTATCAAGTCGAGATGAATGTTTTGCTCTAAATTCTGCAAAATCTTCTTGAAGAGAGGTTCAAATGCTTAGATAACGAAAAATTACACAATTTTGCTTGTTTCAATAAATGCCCCTTCAAATTGCCTTACAAGCCTTCACATGCAAGAAAGGTTTTAATTTTTTTATATTGCACCTACTTTGTAAGGATACACCAACGAGGGCCAGATACTAAGGCTGGTCAAACACTGGAGACGATGGAATAAGTACTTTTTCGCATATACGTTTTTCATATGTTCCATTTTGCAGGATCGAATCGAAAATCCTTTTCCGAAAGGAGGTTCGAAAGTATTACATTCTCTAATAGATAAATTCGGTCGCTTGTCCACAAATGCTGTAGATGAATTCTTGCTCAGGACTTTATTCTCTAGAAAGGGCATCATCTATAATGAGAATCTAAATCTTTTATAACTCGAATTCATTTTAATCCAAGGAAAGTCGCAAAGAAGTTAAATCCCCAATTCTCTCAATGTGCGCGAATGTGAGAAAATTTCGTTTTTTTTCCATATAATTAATGACATATAGCTACACTAATTGCTATTCGTCGATCAAAAAATACTTGTCAATACCCTTATGCCAAGTTACTTATCCATAAAAGCATTGAAACGGGCCTGAGAAAATCAAAGAATTGAGCTTTCGGAAATTTAGCCATGTTGGGGCATGACTGTCCTTTACTGATGACAAAAAATTCTGAATAGTTGATGTGTGATAGAAGATGTCTTATACTGCTCTTCCGCAAATCATGGATGAAAAACAACAAGAAAAGGCTTCAAGAAGATTGGCTTGCCAAAACAAAATTATTTTTCAGCTGACAAGTACTTTTCGTAAAAGTGTCCAATCCTACAATTCTACTCAATAAAAAGAGTGAGTTATTGAAATAAAATCGAAGTTAAGACTGAATTTAACTGGGTCTGATTTAGACACGATCGCTTTTTTTCGAGTGTGAACGGTTATATCTACCCTTCGAACTAAAAAATCACGCGTTCTACTTCCCAAAAATTTATCGAATGAAATGATTTTTTTGAATTGCGGAAATGGCACTTTTTCGGCATTTCAATGCAAGAATTTCGTTTCAATATTCCTAGCTTTTTTATTTTCTTGTTCTTTCTTTTGGAACGTTGCACTGGTGAGGGAGTTGTCATTCGATATTTCCCAAAATCAGGGAACTATTAGCATACCAGCATAAAGACTTTTATATAATTTCAGTCTTCTCTCTCTGAAATTTCCAAAGTTGCGCGAAGTTCACATGCTTTCATTCTTTTTACCCAGTTGTTCCATTTGAGGCAAGGTCATAATAAGTGCCTCAGTTGAACATTATGTAGTTCTTAGAAGGCGCAAAAGGTGTCTAGCATTTCACCAGCGTGGATAATTTTCGATTTGGCTGTAGTGAAAGTGCACTTTTTGATACTTTGACCAAATCCATTCAAGGGCTGAATAGCTCTTTTTTCCATTGTGAGAAATCTTGCAGCGCTCTTCAATGAGCTTGCTAAAGCAGCAGCGTTGATTGACTCATTCAAGTTCTTTGTCGAGATGCAGAGAAGGATGTTATAGGGCATAGACTGCAGCATAAAGTTCCGTACAGTTTTAAGGTGCAATTAAGAAAAATTTAGTGGTAAACTCAGTATAAGCAAATTTCTTTTTCAATCACAAAATGGTGCAGGAAACTAGGATACCCAAATTTTGTTGTCAAATGTGTTTGAATAATCATTTTCAACTGGTTTCTAATCAGCAACTGTCAAATTGCCCAAAAACTGATTACTGCGCACAAGCGTCAGAAAACGCTCACTTTTGGGTAAAGAATATCACGAAAATTTGCAACTGAAATGAAACATAGGGAATGAAACAATTACAGGTTGGTTAATAGAAAATTCGGTTGCTTTTGCGGCTCTTACAAATGCTGCAGACAAATTTTCGTCCAGTGTTTGGCATCTCTGGAAAGAGCGCCTTAGTAAGGATTAGAATGCAAATACCGTCCGATTAGAATTTATTTTTTCTATGAAGAAAAGGCGCAAACGAGTGAGAAACCCGAACCACAAATCTGCGAAAAATCCGTTTTGGAATCAGTTAATTTCACAAACCACAAAGTTTATTGTTATTCGCTAAATAGCGAGAACTTGGATGTGTCTATACAAATTATTATTTGTACATCCCACAGCATGGCAAGAAACCTAAATAAAGAACTGAGCTTTGGAGAATTATATAGGCCATATTGGCATAACTGTCCTTTACTGATAATGCAAAATCTTGAGAGCAGTTGGTATGTGATAATAGACGAAACTATGCTGTATTGAAGACCGTGTTCAAAAACAACAAGAACAAAAGGGAACTTACTTTCTAGCCAACTTAATAATTGTTCAGGGCTAGCCACAAAGGACTTGTCATTTTTGGTTGAAAAATTTGAGTACGATGGTGATGCCGCTGAAATTGCCTCCGCACAAGAATTGTCCGAGTTTCATAGTGTCAGGACGATAGTTTTTTTGGTCGTCCTTATACTTGTCGATGACAAAAGCTTGATCTTTCCAAAACCAAGTACAAAATGTCAGCAACAAAAATACAACACTTTATTCAACAGAGTTCAATCAACGCCGGAAAATGTCTGAGTTGGAGGGTTGCCAGCTGAAAAGTTGACGACGTTGCTGATTGACTTTGCCAGTGATGTCACTCATTGATGGTGCAAATGATGCTACTCTCAACTAAAAACAAAAATTTCCAGAAAAATCAAGAGCTACAAAATTACTTTCAAGTGTTAGTACTGCTGCCAGTCAATTATAGATCAATGTGTTCTATGTCCTACCTTTGTACTTCGTTGTCCGAATAAGTTTTCGTATCGAGGAGGCAGGAAGTTCCTGATTGGCTGAAAAAGATGAGATCAAATTAACATCTTCGATTATCCCAGCCAATGAGATAAGTCTGTGAAAAAAAAACAACTTTTCTGCTTGCATACAGTATTCTTTCTTCACTAAAGGTATATTAAAACCAAGGTTTTGAAACTGTACAATTTTTTTCAAAATTATGCGTTTTTCATTCCACCAATCAGATTAGTAGCATGTCAGAGTGGAAAAAAAAAGGATAAGGTGCTCTGGAAAGTTGATTGATCGCGTTAGGTCGAACCAATGTTCTGTCGCATCATTATCGAATAAATGTAACTTCGTGTTTTTGAAGGAGGTTATTTGACGTAAAGCTGATACTTTCTAGAAGCTAACTGAAGCTTTTACTAATCTTTGAATTGCCGGAAAAATCTGATCAAGGCAGGCATCTGAATGTTGAAAAAAGACATAAAAAGAGAATCATGGTCAGGCTGATTCCCACACTTTTTGTATCAACAGCGAAAATGATTTTGCTCTTTCCCTTAACCTAACAAGTAGGTAACATCCTTATCGAGAAATCATCACCTCATTTCCCTTGCTTTCATCTCCTAAGATCTTCTACAGCAGCGCAAATGCATTTTGAGTGGCTTAAAGGGTAGAACGTCGAAGACACGATCTTTTTTGCAAGCGACGAAAGTCGAGAAAGCCCTATTCACTCAGACAGTCCCCAAGGTGGAAATAGAATTTGTCATTGATTCAAATGCGGCACGTCTTTAATAGGTAAGAATCTATGAATTTCGTTGATTTATTGAAGCTGAAGATAACACGAATATTTACATTTATCTAGCATATCATGATGTACAGCTCAGTAGATTTGACGGCCATTCTTATATCCAGCAACACCAACAATACTGTGCGTGAAAAATACTCATTCGAGCATTCTATTACAATTATTACATATATCACTTACGTACAAGTGTTATTGCGGATGCAAAAACACTGCACCAACTGTCATATCCACAAATAGGTGGGGGGAGGCTTGCTCTCTTTTTTTTTCTCTCTCTCTCTCTCACATGACATGACATCACGCGCTTTTTGGTACTGTAGGGCTGGGGCTGTAGGCATTTTCTTACAAACGTGACGTTGCGTCTGAATGAATGATGTGATAAGTTTCTCAGGACTGGGAGAGTGCCCCCACCCAAAAAGTAAGGTATTGTCAGCTTCCGAGATATTTGAGAAGCGTATTGTAGGGTTGGGTTCAAATCAAATTTGCACTACAAATCGGACTATCTGGCTCTCTTCTTTGTTGGATTACGGTGGGAACTTCAGCACGATGTCATCGTTACTATCGTTACTTCTGCTGCCAGTTCAGCAAATCCAAAAAAAAAGATTTTTGTGGGATGATTTAGATTAGCCTCGTTTTGATTGACTTTAACGCGTTTTTGAAGCAATTTGTAGGCTAAAGTCACATTTCTTTTGTATTAGACAGTTATCAAGTTTAAGAAAGATAAAGCGAAAAACTCATATCTGAAATCAGCAATCCTAATCAGTCGATAGCAGTTTCCACCTCTTTTGAACTCTTTGTGCGGCAAGTTTTGGCTCTCATTGGAGACTCTTACAGTAATAAAGAGCGATTTATTCTTTTTGTACTGTATCTAAGCCAAAGGAGTTTGCAAAAAAAACCTCTAAGTATCATTTATCACATCATTTTGGGAGAATATCTGCTTTGATGGGAAGGAATGATTGAAAACGCGCAAGGCAATGAGCATGCAGCATGCTGAAGCACTCTTCTAAACGGATTGCATGATGATTTTCACTGGAAAGCTAAAAGTGGATTAGCTTTTGAAGTTTCTTCAAGCTTTGCAGCCACTTCTGTAGAGCGGAGTGTTAGAAGAGGGTAACATGAAAACAGGAAAACGCATGCAAAATACTTTTCTTACTTTAAAAACGCCTTTACATGATTTTTAGCTGAAAGAGAACAGACGCACTTCACGCAACTTGCTTGAGGATTTTTTTGATGTCCATCCTTTGCTTTTATGCATTTTTCAGAAAAAAATATTGGCAGTAAAGCGTAAATAGCTTGCTCTAAAGTAATGATATCAATCCCCCCAGAAAGGAATCTTCAACACTTCCTGAAATTCTCCACTATTGTAGTTGCACATTTTTTATGATGTACATCTTTCGAAATCCAAAGAAAAAGTGCGATGGACTCTCAGGCACGAAGTTCCGTGAACATCTTCGCATAACCTTTATGCGTCAATGCTCTCAAGCTTTTGTTAAAGTTCACTCCGGATGCATTCGTAATACGGGAAGCATAACAACTCACACGTCCTTCAATGAGTGATTCTTGGAGTGGCACGAACTTGAATTTTTGCTTCCAGTCGGGTTGACACTGAAAATGTTCAAAAATTTCGTATATGGTGAGTCATGTTATTGAAAAAAGTATGACTATAGCATTTTTATCCACATTTTCTAAAAGCAATTGACCTATGAGACCAGTATTTGAGCATGATTTGGCGTTAGAAAAATAAATATTTTTGATTGAGACCCAAGACTGTTAGACTCATTCTATTAATGAAATGTTCAACAAATCTTACTCCCCATAGAAAAGTTTTTCCATCGAGGATAAAGCTCTTTCAGTCAAACTGCAATTCTTGCCTAAATAGAACTGCTTTTTTATTCAGTACGAACGGATTTCTATCTAGAATCTTTTTCAAGGTATCTTAGAGCCTGTAGCTGGCTGCTGTCATGGGAGAAACGATGTCAAAATGAGAAATGTGGACAATCGATTTTCTGGGAATCATGAATTCTTCTGATATACTATATCTTACCGTAATAAAATTGACATACTGTAACTGATGAAAATAATGTCTGCCTTAGCAGTAAACGAAATATCTGTCCTGCACACAAATTTCTGGCATATTTCACACCTTCAGTATCCAACATTTTAACAAATCAAAAAATCTATTAAAACTTATTAAAAATCTCACCTGAACTAAGGCGAATGTGGCTAATGTGACAACTACAACGAGGGAGGCTCGCATACTGAACTACGAAAGATTGGATGAGACGATGACACGTAAAATCTACGAGATAACAAATTACAAGAATCATTTTGATGTTTACTCCAGCTGCAATACAAAACCCAAATTTGTGAATAAAATGAAAGGAGACATACGAAGAGGAGGAGACAATCGGATGAGCTCCACCCTAAGAATGTGGATTTAGGAGGAGGAGAGAGGGAGGGGCTCGGAGGAGCAGGTACTCCTCCGAATTCGTGCGAGTAAGACAAAGGAATAGTGCGAGTTTCTCCAGAATACGGTAACAAAAGATGATTTCTATTTTTATTTGTTCAATTATTGGCGCTGTCATAGGCGTAAAACTACTTCAGAGGCATATGGAATTTAGGACAAACCAACAAGTTTTAAGAAAAGAATGAAACTATACAACGATGGTTTTTCTTGCTATTCTATATAATTTCGAAACTATAGCTACTCTGAATTGTAAGCTGTCGAAGGTCACCGAAATGTATGTTTCCCAAACCGTTCATTTTCAGATTTATTTATTTATATATTCGGATTTATGATTTCAAAAGGCAACAACTAGCAGCATCTTAAGGAATTTTGATTTCTGGCTACGGTAGCCAGCATTCGATCAATGAAACTCTAAAATCATCAGTAACTAAAGGTCAGCAATATTTTTTATTTAGATAAATACCTTGAAATTTCACATGACCAGACAAATAACGTGATTTTGCTTTGCTGAAACAATCACATTTTCGACTTTCAGTAAAGCGAAACTGAAGCTCAAATAATCAATGAACAGTAGTTAGCTTCCGCCCTCAAGGACATCAGAGAGTAGCTAAAATTACAAACAAGGTTCTGAACTCGCCATTTCTTCACAACAGATTAAAGAAGAAATGACACTTATAATTCTTCCGAATGGAGTTAGTCATATCCTCTGGAAAACTTTTGTGATGCTTTACAAACTTTCGGACTTGTACGCTGGAATGTCAAGAAAAGGAAAAAATTTGCTTGCAAAGCTATTTCAAATCCAAATAAAAGATTCGAGAAAATCATTTCCATCTTTCAAAAGTAAGAACAGGTTGAAACCTTCAACATTCATTTTGGAGATGGGAGGGGGGAGTTAGGTTCACCATTTTATAATTTGATAAACAAATCATAGAATTGTCATCCTTGAGGACCGGCATTCTGCAGTCTTGCTTTGGTGTTGTACAGATTTTATCGAATTGAAAACTTATTCAGGAGCGTGGATACCTCGACTGCAAGAAAAACCCTCAAAGCTATGGGCACAATAATAATAGTCTGTCAGTAATAATAATCTGTCAGCATGGAGAATTCTCTCAATAAATGACTCCTGAATCACATGAAAAATAAGAGAAAGATAAGAGAAAATTCTAAGTTGATGTAACACACTGATGTCATAGGGAGTTCACTCTCACTCGTTGCTCGATTATTGGCTTGCCTTTAAATGATGACATTGAGGAAAAACCGACATGTTGAGTACATCCAGCGCTATTGCACTCACTCATGGCCAGTAACATAAGTTTAGAATTAGCTGAATGAAATCGAAAATGCCGCACACTAGCGAGCAAAGACGACTAAGATTCCCAAACGGGCATCACAAATGAGATCATCAAGACTTCTCTGGGGCGCCTTCCGCAACGAAAAAAAATTCGAGGATATCAAGTTCGCTGCGATTTGAAGCTTCTTATAAGTGTACTTATGTGTAAGCACTTTTGCTTCGTTGCGAAATTGAAAAGCCGTAGGACACATGTACACTTTCGAGTATCTGAGCAGACGCCAGTGCCTTTGTCATGTACTCATTTTTAAACTTGAAATATGTTTTCTGTTTTTCTAATGGCTAGAAACCAACAAGAAATATTGGACGAAGTAGAGAACCCGTTCTTAGGGGGGGGGGGGGGGAGGGCGGATCAAGCGTTTCCTTTCCCTCCTTTTCCTTCTTTCACGAGAATGGATTGAAAAATTCTTGAAATGTAGTCTACATGGGCTATGAATCATCGCATGTGTCTCGCATTCGCCTGTAAGTGATTGAAATAATCTTTGAAAATAAAAAAATTCAAAACTAACCTTAAAAAAATTATTTTTTGAAAGCGTAACTGTGGCTAGGCCTTTTCAAAATTTTGGGGTTGTCCATTTGCTTACAAGAGCGACCAAACCGCGTTCAGAAGGAGCAAGAAGTTAGGGAGCTACAAAATCTTTTTGGATCCCATGAACGATGCCATGCCTCTTAACTTTGAAATATGTTTTGTGCCTTTTCCCTCCAAAAAAAATTTTTTTCGAACGATCTCGCTAGTTCATCATCCAAAACCATAAGTTTATACCTCGTATTTGTGCTAGTTTTTGCGCGATAATTCTTAGTGTCTGAAACGAAAGAATATTGTGAGACGGCTTGATGTATGTAGTACTATTAGGCTGTCCCATAATTATCAACCGTTTTTACTTCGACGATCAACTTTTTGTATTTTTCCTCTAATTGATGCGGCTTGAGTAACCCTTCGATAGGGCAAAGCAAGCTCCGATGGCTATCAATAGTCTGTACAAATCGTAACCTACGAAGAGTTTTGAGCTGATTTGATAGCAGCCAAAAACGAATTTTACTGTCAAAAATCGTATCTCCGCCCCAAGAAATCTAAAAAAATTCCCCATTTATCCTACGATATGCTTGACACATCTTACATTCAATTATATAACTTTCGTATTTTTTCGATAGCTAGAAATAAAGAAAGAATTGAGGGGAGTAAAATGGCAAACTCCGCCCCTAGAAGTCCTGAGCTCCTCCCACACACGGGATCATATAGCTCATACATATAGAAGTACGATCATGTATTTGAAAATTCTGAAGGTGCCCCACTCCACGAGAAATGCTGATGTTCAAGGTAAAAACGGTAATTAATTATGGGACACCCAATAGAATCGCAGAACCACGACTTACAGAGACATCATCTTTGAGTAGACCTAACGATTGACCTTGTCGAATGAATTGCTCAAACTTATGCGAATAGGAGCCCGCAGAGTAGAAGGTATGTAAAAGGAGATTCAGGTCAAAATGTGGATAATGCAAAAGAATTCCGGGATTTTGAAATTTTCATTTGTCATTGACATTCAATTGAAACCTACCTAATTCTCTGCCAAACAAACATTTTCATTCTCGTGAAACTCGTAATTCAATGCTTATGGATTAGAGTAGACCAGGAAGCTGCTTGTTATCGAGTTTCCAACTGAAAGTTAGACAACCACGTATTTGGATGTGGGCTGAGATGACACAAAGGCATAATGAAATCAGCAATTAGCTGCTAAGCAGATTCTAGGCTCTTTTCTTTCCTTGGTCAAAATATTGAGTTGCCTCGCCAGATCTCCTGAGTAAAACTAACTTCTCCTTGTAACGAGAATAATCAAGCCGGTTGCACTTTTCGCATTGGCGATGGATACGCCACTGAAGCATGAAGCCCTAATTTGTTTTAGGCATACTGAGAACCCGGTGAAAAACTAATCGGTTGTATAGCGGGCAAAGTCGTCTTTTCTTGCGTTTACATATCTCCTAGGAGCAACACGGCGATTGGAGCAATAATAATAGCTTTGCCAAAGATCGACTTTGATTACGGATTTGCGATTAACTTGAAAACCCAAGACGGATGCAAATATAGGACCCATACTCAATTGTAATAATTACTTGATAGGCATGCACATTTTGCTGCACTCGGATGCGCATAAAAGCCAAACTTTTTTTGAGTGGCGCAATCTTTAGAGTTGCAGAAAAAAGTAAACCATTTATTCCTCTATTTGCATCTGAAAAGCTGGCACGCAATGACATTACGTTATGCGGTCTTTTCTTACTTGACAGCAACTATTTTTTCTAGGATGCATTAGTCACGAAATGCAGACAAAAAAATTACAAGTGAATAATTTAGCAAAACTCAATTGCAAATTGTTAATTCAACAAAGCTTTAAGTTGAATTGGATCTTCTTGAGAGGAACATTTTTATTTGTTTGGTTTCGAATCTAAAAAAGCGCTGTAATTTTTGTTATCGTAGACGTAATTAGCATAACGACAAACTTGGCGTTTCTTTGGTAGTAACGGATATTTGATGTTTACTGGTTTCTTTAACGTCTAAAATGTGCGAATCATAAAACATACTCGCTATCGTAAATTTTTCAAAATGGTGCTAGATCTAACCTTGAATATCTGTAATGACTAAGCCCAAGATTACGCTATAATATTTAGGTGTCAAGAGACGCACATCTAAAAGACTTGCGTCTCCTATCACAAAACCAAGAACTGCGCCAGCAATGTGCATTTTGAGCCAATCGCACATGATCGAAGCATTGTAGAACTTATGCCTAAAGCTCCTTTAACCTCTTTTCATGTATCTATTATTACCACTCTTAATATTTCTTTAATCCGAATGTGTATGTGTGTCAAGTTTGGTCCGGGTCGGTTCGGAAATGGAAATTTTCTATTCGGAACGTACGTTGTACCGATATTGTCGGCACCTCCTTTACTCTATATCACTTCGCTTGTATCTCACTGAATAAGTACCGTAAGGGTCATGCCATAAGCATGACCTGTTGTGATATAAGTCTGTTTACTGCCCAGATGTCTAGTAACTTGTATAGCCACGCCTATTATTGTTAGCATTCTACCATAGCACCCACGAGTGTTAGTCGACTGTTCTTAAAGCTCTACAGCCTATGTGCTCTAACACACACCAAGGGGCGCTATTTCGCCTCAGGCTACTATAAAGCCTAAGAACCACCAATACATACGTACTACAGACAGACATGCAGACATACAAACGGACAGACAAACAGACATTCAGCTTTATATATAAGACTAGCGACCCTACGGGTCGCTAGCAAGTGGGTTGGGGCAGATACGTTGATACATACGTTCGGGAGCCATTGTAAATAGGTTTGAACTCATTTCATTTTCTGAGTTTTTGGAGCGAAAAGTTTTGTTTTTCCCCGCAATTTCCACCAGAAGCGGTAAAAACCTCGATTTCGACAGATT